ATCAGTGATAGAGTAGTTGCATGGCATGCTCAAGTCTGGGTTCAATTCCAATACCGCCAAAGATTGTATGTATGTATGTATGTATGCATGCATGTATGTATGTATGCATGCATGCATGCATGTATGTATGTATGTATGCATGCATGTATGTATGTATGTATGTATGCATGTTTGATTGGATGAATTGGTCTTTTGAGACAGGGTTTCACTATGTAATCCTGACTAGCATGGAACTCATCCTGAGTTCATAGTGGAGGCTCATCTCTGGATGCTGGTAGGCCAGCCTGTGCTACCAAACTACCTTGAAAAGATAATTTCTTTCCAAGAGAAGTGTAACTGAGGATGGAAACTAGAGGATCCATTGTCATCCTAAGACTTTGATGGGTTTTCTTGTTTTGTGTGTATCCTTGGCTCTTTAAACAAACTTGGGCCTGGTAAAATTGTTACAGAAAGAGGCTGCACTGTCATCGAGGGGAGGACATTCATTGCTTGCTTCTCTGCCCTCCACGGGTCAGGGAATGAGCTTCATCTAGAAGAAAGATAAAATAAGACATGCATAATTCTCATTCCATGGTTCATCAAAAGATCTTTAATGTTTGATTTTATTGGGGGTGCTGGGGATGAAACCCAGAGCTTTCTGCATGCTAGATTAGTGCTCTACCACACCCTAGCCCCCAAACTAATTTGGATGGTGCCCCTGAGCTCTTGTGGTTCAGGCTTGAGGTTATAAGGTTTCAAGGAACTTTGCAGCCACACTTGTTTTTCTCTAATCAGTTCCCTTATCTCTGAATCTACACCTGTCATTGCCACAGTTTTATTGGCTGAAGATATATCAGAGTTCTCGGCACATAGTAAGTGCTCAGTAGAGCACTTGAACTCTAGAGTTATTGAACTGATGACCTTATAAGTTCTTCTCACCAGAACATTTCCCCAAATTCTCCACTGAGATGAGGTGTCTTCTTGTACTGCTTGCTTCTGTTATCACCTGGGAAGCACTTACAAGTCAATCACATTGTGCTTTTTTTTTTCTTTTTCTTCTTCTGGCTTTTCAAGACAAGATTTTTTTTGTGTGTAACAGCCTGCTGTCCTGGAACTCACTTTGTAGAACAGGCTGACCTCAGACTCGAAGAGATCAGCCTGGCTCTGCTTCCTGAGTCCTGGGATTAAAGGCGTGTACCACCACTGCATTTTTTTTTTTTAATATGCCCTGCCTATTCTTTAATGTAAAATTTCCTAATTTTAAATTTACCATTCCAAATGAACCCTTCTTGTCAGCCTAGTGATCCCAACAAAACCCAGCAAAAGCTCATGCCTCCAATCTGTGGAGGCTAAAAGGCTGGTGCTGATGGATGTTTAAGAAACTACTCATCCATCTCAATGTAGCACTCATGATGCTTGCTCTACAATTGCCCATCATTGCTTCATTCAAAGGCGGTGATTATTCATTCATGGAGCATTTGCCGAGCCTCCACTAGGAGCCAGTTACTGTGCTAGATGCTTTGGAAGATATACAAAGATGAATAAGATGCTTCCCCTGATTTCAGTAGCAATTACTGATGTCAGATTCATAAGCAATTAATCACACACTGCCTTGTGATGTCTCCGATACTAGCTGGAAAGCATTCTTTAAATACTGCTGTGTGATTTGCCTTTTCACTTGTTAATGTTTTCATATTCTGCAAATAGTTGTTGAATATCTATGTGACAGGCACTATCTTGGCAGCTCAGACAAATGATCATCAAATGGTAGTTCCTGCCATCAAAGAAGGTCACACTGCAATACGGAAGAGGAATTGATATTAGGTAGTAAGTATGATGTGACATACCACATGCTACGGGAATCCCAAAGAAGGGATGCTCAATTGCCCGAGAGCATGATGCCCAATATCACTGAAGATGGGCGATACAGCTGGCCTTGGAAGGACAGAATCAAAGAGAGGAGGTGAAGAAGGGCATTCTAGATAAAGAGCAAAGGCTTAGGACTGGTCAAGTGGCTATGTGACAAGGTGCTTGCCTAGCTCATAGATGGCTCTGGGTCCACCCCCAGCACTGCATAGGTCACAGAAGTGTAAGAACATGATGTATATTTAAGTGAAGGCAGAACATAGATATTAGTTTTAGTTTGCTTCCTGCTGCTGTGTTGAACACCATGGCCAACTTGGGGAGGAAAGGCTTTATTTGGCTTACATTTCCAAGTCTCCGTCCATCATTGATGGGAGTCAGGGCAAGAGCTCAGGAACCTTTAAAGCAAGTGCTGGCTTGCTCCTCACTGCGTGTTCAGCGTGTGTGTGTGTGTGTGTGTGTGTGTGTGTGTGTGTGTGTATCCCAGAACCATCTGGCCTGGGGTATCACTTTCACTATGGGGCGGGTCCTACCACATCTATCAGGAATCAGAAAAAAATGCTCCACAGACATACCCACAGGCCAATCTGATGGAGGCAATTCCTTACTTGAGGGTTCCTCCTTTCGAGGGTTTCTAGTTTGTGTCAAGTTGAAAACAAAAAGAAAGAAAACTAACTTGCACAGTAAAGTCGGGTCTCATTGTGTAGGTGCATAGTCTTTGTGATGGTTTGAAGAAGAATAGCTCCATAGGCACATATATTTGAATGGTGGGTCCCTGGGGAGTGGAATTGTTTGAAAGGATTACAAGGATTGAGAGGTGTGGCCTTGTTGGAGGGAGCGTGTCTCTGGGGGTGGGCTTTAAGCCTTAAAATGTCCATGCCAGACCCAGGCTCACTCTCTCTGCTTGGAGATTAGGATGTAGCTGATCCAGTTGCGGCTTCAGTGCCATGCTCTCTGCCATGATGATAACGTACTGACCCACTGAAAGTGTAAGCCCCCCCCCCCCCCAGTTAAATGTGCTCTTTGATAAGGGTTGCTTTGGTCATGGCGTCTGTCTTCACGGCAACAGACAGTCACTAAGACAGTCACAGCCCAAGGAAGTTGGATTGCATCCTCGAGCAAGGGCACCACTCTCCACCCTCATTATATATGTAGTGCCTGGTTAAAACATTCAAACAGGGATGGAGACATGACTCAGTTGGTATATTTCTTGCATGAGGATTAGAAAGTTGGATCTGGCAAGTGAAGACAGGATTCCTGGAACTTGCTAGTCAGACAGTCTAGCAAAATACTTGAGCAATGATGCCTCAAAAAATAAAGTGTGGACAATGATTGAGGAAGACACCTATGTCAATATCTGGTCTACACACACACACACACACACACACACACACACACACTCACACACACACACACACTCACACACACACACACCACACCACACACACACACTCACACACACACACACCACACCACACCACCCGTACAAAGTCTCAAACAGATGTATACAAGTTTCAATGTGATTCACTCTGGTAATGGTTTGAGTTTTAATTATTTAAGATTGTTTCCTAGCCAGGACCATGGTGGCACACACCTTTAATCCCAGCACTTGAGAGGCAGAGGCAGGTGAGTTGAGGATACACAGAGAAACCCTGTCTTGAAATACAAAACACAAAAAAAAAAAAAAAAAAAAAAAAAAAGAAAAAGATTGCAGATTGCTTTCTACAGGTAAACTATTATGATACAATTTAAAATGGAAGCAATTTATAAGTACTTCTTGGGTAACATTTACCAATGAGTGCACATGTGATTCACCTTTTAAAGAGCTGGGTAATTGGTAGTACATTAGCAGTTAAAAAAAAAAAAAAAAAAACAAACAAACCTAAAGAAGCAAACTGGGTCTAGTCTTTGCACAAGTCGCCCAACCTGTGCTTCTGTTACTTTTCTGTAATGTTAACACGCTAAAGGTACCTGTTTCATAGGGTCTGTGTGAGTATCAAATAGTGCCTGGCAGATAAAATCCTTGGTGATTCCATGATTTACTTATTCACTATTCAGGGTATGTTTCCGATAAGTGATGTAATCTGATTTCTTTTTGGCAATCACTCTGGCACTCTTTGGTAGTGAACAGGGAAGGACGATTGTTAGTGAGATCTCATTCAGACTTCTGCACAGTACGGTAGTATGGAATATTGGCTGTTATTACATGACCAAATGCCAGGCTCTACCCAATACTGATGGATGAGATAGTCTCCTCCCAAGCCCTACATTTAGAAGACTGTTCTGTTCATTTGACAGGTATTTCTGAGTCCTTAATGTGTTGGTATGAGATGGGCCTTGCTATATAGCCAGTGTAAGGATTCAGGCATTGTGCTGGCCTGCCTGTCACCTGGCAGAATGCACTCAGGGTTCCATAGAGGTACCTGACTGGCCTAGCACTGGGTCTGTAGACATGGTTGGCTCCAGTCTTTCAGCAACCTTGCCTCGGTCCCACAAGTGCTGGCTGGGATTGCAGGCCTGCATCTCCATGACCTGCTTTATTTCATTTTCTGTAACCCAAGCAAGCACTGACTATGCAACCATCAATCCAGCCTCCGGAGCGCTCAGGTGACAAGAGTGAGATACCAAACCTAGCTCCTCACTACCGGTTTAGGTACAGAAAACAAGAGCAGACGATTGGTGCTGAGGCGATCCCATCCCAGGGCACATTTACGACTGAAGATGAGGGGAAAGACAATACGTAGGCAAACAAATGAACAAGAACGTCGGTTTAGCCCACATCTCTGGATTGCATAGAAGTTCCAATCAGCACTCGGGGATGTTAAAAACACCCAACACACCCTGTACAAGTTCAATGATCATCTTCCATAAAGAAGCTTGGGGAGCTCATTTTCTGGGCTGGATGGAAGTGGATGTTCGCTCGGGCCCTCGGTGAGGTGAGCGGCCCCGGCCCGCTTCGCAGCCACCTCCAGCTGGGCTCCGGAGCCTAGATTGCGCCGGCGCGAGGGCTCAGGCCGAGGCTGAGCGGTCGGCAGCACACCGGCTCCGGAACCCTTCGGGCCCACGGCCTGCGCGCGCCGGCGGCGGTTGCGGCCCGGCGTCGGGAGGACTTCCGGCGTGTGCCGGGGTGGCCGGATGACGTGGCTGAGTCAGAGGAAGAGGCTCGGAGGCCGGGGGGCGGGGGCGGCGCGGAGCGGGCGGTGACGGCGGCGGAGGCAGCGGCTGGGCCCGGGCCCCGTGCGTCTGTCCGCGCCCGGTGGATGTGAATCGGCGGCGGCGGCGGAGGAGTCGGTGGGCCGGCGCCCGGCCTGTGGGAGCGCGGAGGATGAGGCCGCTGCCGGGCGCGCCTGGCGTGGCGGCGGCCGCCGCGTTGTTGTTGCTGCTGCTGCCCCGGGCTCGGTCTGACGAGCACGAACACACGGTGAGGCGAAGCGAGCCGCGCGGCCGCCCCCGGTCCGCTCCCTCGCTTGCCGACCCGCCAGGCCCGGCGCGGCCTGGAGGCCCGGTGCAGCCCCGAGGCCGCCCGAGCGCTCCTTCCGGTCGGGCATGGCGGGGCCGGATCCACGGGAGCTGGGAGGAGGCATTTTCGAGCAGTCCGGGCGGCCTGGGCCTTGCTCCTCGGCTCCGCCTCTCGGGGCCGGGGCTCGGGGGTCGCCCAGGAGCGGGCTCGGGACCCGGGAAACTGGACGCTGTACAGGGACGCAACACGGCGGAAGACGGATGCACGGTGATCGCCAAGCGCTTGCCAACCAGGAAATGCCCATCAGCTCACGGCCCGCTCCGGCCTTTTCCCACCCTTCTCTCTCCTGTCCGAGCCGGATTTAAACCGTGGGGTGGGGGACAGCGTTAGTGGAGCGGAGGTGTGGACGGTTTACACATGGACACGTCTTCACGCTGCACGCACTAGGTCCCCAGGCCCTTCCTGTAACTTTGTCCGCGCTCCGCGAGTCCCCAGACGACGTGGGGTCCGGGTGGGCAGCCTCTAACCGGGGCAGCCCTGACCCCAGGGACCCTGGAGTCACCCAGCCCTCAGGCCACACCCCCACTCACTTTTGCATTTGGTCTGAAGTTGATTGGCGGCTTATTTAATTGTATTTTCACATCAAAGCTTGGACTTAATGACTCTTGGAGGGACTTTCACCTAGAGCTAAAACGCTATGGGCTACTCCCCTCATCCCCCAGGATGGCAGACGCGAGGAGGCAGGGAAAGTCAGAATAAATCTAGAAGGTTGCTTGTCGAATGATTGTTTTTGGTTTTATTGGTAGGATTTTTTTGCCTGAGAAGTTGTGTATTTGCTAAATTTGAAAGATTGGAGAATGCCCGGTTGTAGCTAATCGGTGACGAATCGAGGACTTTCTCATTTAAGGGGCCAGACTTTAGATTTTGTTTGTAATTAACAAAACTTTGTTCTAAGGCCTGGATTAACTGTCACCTTATTTTAGCCAGACTCTAATTGCATGGTTATATAAGTTCTTTTTTTTATTCACAGAAACACTGAACTGGTAAATCCGACATTAAAGTGACTTTTCACTTTAAAATGGTTTTGTTAAGATCTTAAGCAGTTAAGTGAAAACTATTTTCTATCAGCTAACTTGTCCTAAAGTTTATGAAAAGTATTTTTTTTGTATAATATACAGAGACCAAGTACAGATTGTAGTAATTTGATACCCAACAAGTATCCTTTTACTCAGTAGTTTAAATAGTATTTGATAACGTTTTAGTACTTCAGCTCCTATGTAAAATCCTGAGCTTTTATTAGTTACAATTCCACCATATAGACATACAAATTTATATTCTACTTTTTAAGTCTTGTATTTTACTCATTTATGAAGAGGGAAGTCTTAGTTTATAATTTAATAAATTTTAAGTATGCAAAGACTAGCATATTTCACAAACAATATGTAAGTGGCAGTTTCCATGAAAAACAACTTTATTTTTATTTTATGTGATAGTTTTGCCAGCATGAATGTATGTGTATCATGTATGTGCCCAGTGTCTTAGAGGCTAGAAGAGCTTGTCAGATCCCCTGGGAACTACAGTTACAGGTGGTTATAAGCAGTCCTGTGTGAATGCTGAGAACCAAACGCGCCTTACTGGAGCTAGAAGGCTTGGCTTCACAAATGCTAGTCCTTTTAGGTTAGGAGACCTAGTGTGAAGATAGGAAGACGTGGTTGCTGGACAAAAGTTGAGAGTGAATAGTAATTCATTGCATGTCTATATTTACTTCTTGATCTTCACCTTGGCCAGATAACAGGGGCTCTATAACCAAGTGATTTTTTTTTTTTTTTAATTTCCAAGAAGACAAAACTAGCTAGTGAAGAGAGAATTGATATTCAAGGAAGAGACAAATTGTCAAGGTTGAGTGCCACCACCACCTGGCTTGATAGAACTTTTTAAGTTCAAGAAGAAATGTTTGGATGAGTCTAGGTCCACATTGTGTGTCACTGAGATGTTTGTACTAGCATTAAGAAGGGATAAGGGTAGCTCGTGGGCATGAAGGGCAGGTGGCATGAACAGTCATTCAGGACTGTACTTCCATCTTGAAATTACTTTTGAACAAAGGGTCCTATATTAATGCTTTTTAGATATTTTTATTTGTAAAAATTTGTTATGTGTGCACATATGTCTGTATCAGAGTGTGTTCACATGTGTGCGTTTGCCCATGGAGGCCATAGGAGGGTGTTGGATCCCCTGGAACTGTAGATGACAGGTGATGGCGAGCCACCCTACAGGTGCTGGCAACCAAACCTGGGTCCTCTGGAAGAATAACTAGCACTTTAACTGCTGAGCCATCTCTCCAGTGCTTTGCTGTTGCTTTTATGGGAACGGGGTCTCAGGATTGGCCAAGCTGGTCCTGAATTCTTGGATGGACTCATGTGATTCTCCTGCCTTGGCTTTCTGAATAGCTGCAGCTCCTAGCATGCATCATTCATTATTCCTGGTTAGAAAGTTTTAGTTTGTAATGTGTTCCCCAAATTAGTAGCTGGTATTAAGAAGGAATGACTATTTGCTATCCCCCAAAGTTCCCCTTTTTCTGTATCTACCACTTAACTGGGCTTTAGCTTGCCATTTGATCCATATAGTTTACTTTAGGGTTTTTTTTGTTTGTTTGTTTTTATGTTTTTGCATTTACTTGTTTATTTATTTATTTTTTTCTGTGGTTTGGGTAGGTGAGTGTGCATGCGCCACAGTGGGCATGTGGAGGCCAGGGGGCAACTTGTGGGAGATGGCTCTTTCCTTTTATGTAGACTTGAAATTGACATTTAGGTTATCAGGCTTAGTAGCAAGTACCTCTGCCCACTGAGCCACACTCCTCCCTCCCCCGTTTCCAGTGTTCTTTATGTCCTTATTTATCCAAAGTTCTCCTTTCTTAGAAAAGTAATAAGAAGGAAATGTGCTGTTGATTTCTGGAGGACGTGCTACTTTTAGTTTTTAAAAGTTGGACTGTAGATTATAGGACATACTGTTTGAAATTAAAACTAAAGAATACTTCCACTTATTAAAGACGGTCTCCTATTACATGATTGAAGGATCGTCAAAAGGCCTTTTTAAAGCCAGACATAGAACACACCTTTAATCCTAGCACTGGGAGGCAGGCAGGTGAATTGCTTGTAAGTTCCAGGTCAGCCAGGACTACATAGTGAGTGTCGTGCCCCCCCCCTCCCGTGCCATTAAGTGAAGGGGGTAAGGAAGATGGCTCAGTGGGTGAAAGGCACTTGGGTTTCTATGGGTCCTCTTTCTCAACATGATCACAAAGTTGTGTTTTGTCATTTGTGTTCCTCCCCTTTCTTCACACCTGCTACATATATGCTACAGCACTGTGCTTAGTCCTAGTACATAGCTAGTGTCTATTGAGTGACTTAGTAATCAAGCAACCACTGGGACTAACATACTTAGTTTTGGAAGCACGGAGCTTGCTTAAAGCACTGAACAAAACCAGACCATTGCCCATGTAAGGTTATAACCTTAGGCACACATCTTTAGGTTCCCTCCTGGGACCCCTTTTCTTTGTAATCCTTTGTAATTGTAGTTTCAGGACTTCTGATGTGGGTAGCACCTCACCTGTGCCTAGGATGGCTTTGCCTGTGCCAGAAACATGTTATATTGTACCATTGAATGATTTGGAAAAAGATTTTTAAAAAAGCATTATTTTCTCTGTATGGGTGTTTGGGCTTGTACAGGTACCACGTGCATTCAGTGCCCATGGAGACCAGAAGAGGGCATCAGATCCCTAGAACAGGAACTAGAGCTGGTTGTGCTCTGCCTTATGCCTGCTGAGAACTGAGTCTGAAACCATCCCAAGAAAGAGCAGCCAGTGCTCTTAACCACTGAATCAGCTCTCTAGCCCCAGAAGTGGGGTTTCTTTGCTTGGCAAATCAGCTTTGTCTTTGTCCCTGTTAGAAGTATAGGAACATTAGAAACATTTGAAGATTTATCTTGAGAATAAGGCATGTCCTGTGAGTTTGTGAATGTGCTGATGCAGACTTGGTCTGTAGGGAATGCTATATTTGGTCCTGTTTGGAGCTGTACTTAATGGTAGACTGAAAGTTTAGGGACAGAGTTGTTTTAAGAAAGAATGTTTATCTCAATCTATGATTCAAAACTACACTTCCAATTTATTCGTAATCGAATTCTTATGTGTGGTTTCAAATAATTGAAAGGCTTTTGAAACTGATTTCTGAAATACAGAAATGGATTTTGCTTTCTCTGGTTAAAGCATTTTAAAGTCAATGTGTTTTTTTCTTGTAAAATGAAAGGTAGCATTTGGGGCCTTATTCTGAGCTCTTGATCCTTAGTGGGCTCCTTCCTTCCTTCCTTCCTTCCTTCCTTCCTTCCTTCCTCCCCCTCCTCTTTTATTCGGATTTTACAAAGAGTTCAGCAAAAACCTTTTCAGTGTTCCTCCTGAGGTGGGAAATTAATGACCTCTGCTGGGGAAGAAAGTTTTGGAGTCCTCACCTCAAACGTAACAGAATAAGCGGGACCTGATCCTATGACTACTTGAGAAGAAGGCCTTGACTTTAGGAATTGTGATTTGGGGCAGATTAAAGTCTCAAATGGAAAAGTTTGGTACATTGAGTGCAGTATATTTCTGTTTCTCCATACAGCTGTGCTTTTTAAAATTTATTCTTTTTGGTTAATAAAGCTATTTAGAAGTCAACAAAAGTATAGTTCTAAGTTGTAAGCTTGGTACTAATAATTATATAAGCTTGAACACATTTATTTATGAGACAAGGTCTTGCTAGGTAGTCAAGGCTGACCTAGAATTTGCTTGAAGCCTTCCAAAGGCTGTGATTTACTGGTGTATTCTACCATCCCTGGCTTGGGCAAATTATTTAACATCTCTTGTTTTTGTTTTGAGTCTGTAAAACAGGTGAAATAATATGGCCTATCTTACAGAGTTTTGAGAAGATTCCATGTTTCTGTTAAGATGTTAGGCATCCTAGGTCCTAGTATGTAGTTATAAAATGATAGCTTGTGTGATGCTGTTGCAGAAGCTGATAAGGTCATGCCATGCAAGGGGTGGCCAGTTAAGGCCTAACCTGAGCAATTGAGAATGGGGCATTCAGCGCTTCTGAAGGGCAAGTAGAATTTGACTGCCGGAGAAACGGTGGGCATGGTGGATTGCAGGAAGAGGCAGAAGAGAAGGGGAAGTGCGAGAGGAAAGGAGGGCAGTGTTAAAGCTCCCACTGGAATGAACAGTGGGAAGTGTCCCGGAGGCTCTTCTGAAGGCAGGGAGTGACCAGGTAAAGAGTGCAAGAGGCTGGGTTCTGGCTGCTCCCCCAGAGCTTCACGTGGAAGGAATTACTGCCATGCTATGGACCCCCCCCCATGCTTCCTCGACAGTCATCCCCCCCCCCCCCATACAACATTTTTCAGGTGAATTTTAGCATCTTTTTTCTTGGTGCCATTGTCCAGTGCAGTTTTTCTGAGCAGAGTGTTTTAAGTGTTTGCTAGGACTTCATGGGATGTTTTGGGAGGGAATTAGACCAGCTTTTCCACAGGTTTCTAAGAAGTAGATTAGTGAAGGAAGAGCATTACAGATTTGGGGAGAATTTGTCTGTCTGCAGCTTGAGGGGAGAAAAAGCTTGCCCTTCTCCTTACAAGGGTCTTCAAAATCTCCCTTTTGTTTCTTTCTGTGAGCTTCATGATATCTTTAAACATTTTTTTTTCCTTAAGATAAAATTCCAATTTTTCTTGAGATAAGGTCTCAATGTGTATCCTGGATTAGCTTCAAATTTATCATCCTCCTGCTACAACTAAGCATTTGATTGGTGTGTGCTACTGTGCTCAGGGAAATGAATTCTTGACCTGGGCTTGGGAACTCTTATTTTCAGGGTGGAATCAAGTCTGGGATGCAGTGATAAACATTTTAACTTCATTGTATTTGCCTGCATAAAAGGAGCTCTGTAGAAGTGCTCACCTGCAGGTCCAATCTGTTTCTGCTTGCTGCTGGAGCCCTGCCCAGAGGCTTAGATTGTGCAGTGGGGATTCACCTGCAACTTTGTGTTTCTGACTGCTTCCTTAGTCCTCTTCCTAGACAGTATCTTGGACCAGAGAATGTGCACACATTTGTTGTAGTTCTTGGCTCATGCAGCACAACTCCACCAGCCTGTCAAGTCTTCACAGATGTTCAAAACAACTAACTTTGTTTCAGAATGTGGGTTTAACCTACTTTGTAACCCTTAGATTGTTTCAGAGTATCTCAAATAAGTGAATGCCTTAACTTTAAAGAAATAATTTTATAGTCAGATTTTTTATTTCTAAAGATACTTATATTGATTGAGGTTTATCTCAAAGGTGTTTTTCTAGAATGATATGTAACACTTCTACAGATTCAGCAGGTTCATGGCCAGGTTCTTATTAGTGGGCACTTCTTGCTTTTGTCTCTGAAGGAATGCTGTTTCAGTCAGTGCTTCCTTCAGGCTTTGACTAAGTTGCCAGGGAACTTTACAGTGGTATTATTTACCAGTGTATTAAGTACTTTTGTACATGATGACATTTTGCCTTGGTGGATAGGTTTTAATTCTTGGAACTCTGGTCAGAAAGATCTCAATTTGGAGAATTCTGGGGATGTGCAAGTACAAAGGAGTGCTTAGATTAGTGCTCTGCGGTTCTGCATTATGGGAGACCAATGACCTACATACACATTTGTCAGTATTGCCCCCAGATAAAAGGATCTATGGAGACCACAGTACTCAGACCCTTGCTTCTGTACTTAACGAGTAGAGATTAGCTGTAGTAGTTTTCTGAACTTGCTTGAAGCAGCTTATAGTTTCCTGTTCACCTGATCTTTCTCAGCTAAAGCAGAATTAATTGTCCCTTTATTGTTGCTACAATAGCTTTCTGTAATCATAACCCTTTCTCTATTGTTAATCATTTACTTATATGGTTCTGTGTGGATTGGGAACTTGAAGGGAAGAAGAACATTATTCTTCATTTTTGAATGGTGAACACAATCACTTGAAAAAAGAACATGGTAGGCACTTCATAAGTATTATTCCATTGGATCAACTTTTACACCATTAGTTAACTTGAAAGTACCTGAGCACTTACTGGTCTTGTAGATGATCAGAGCTTGGTTCCTAGCACCTAGAGGGCAGCTCACAACTCTTTGTACCTCCAGTTCCAGGTAGATCTGATGCCTCTGGCCTCCAAGGGTGTGTGTGTGTGTGCACATGCGCTCACACACACAGGAACACAAACACACTACACATAATTTGAAATATTTTTAAAAAATCTGATAGTGTCTAGTTAATGTTGTTATAAATTTTAAATTTATAGAGATCTTAAGAAATGTTTGGCAGATTATAAAACATGAAGTTGACTGTCCCCAGCATATATGAGGATATAACTAATATTCACTGATGGTTAGAGATATAATTATTCAAAGAAATATATGTGCAAAGTGAGTCTGTTTTGACAGGTGGGGTTGGGTTTGAATGTTGGGTTCACAGTGTTGCTTTTCTTTCTTTTTTTTTTTTTTTTAGTTATTTGTCTCTTGTCTAGTACTTTGAGCAGTATATGTGAGAAAGACTAAGAGAGAAAAGTTGTATTTATTTGTGCTGACATTGGTTTGTGGGGGGAGGGAAAGTAATGATTAGCATGAGGTTCTAGATGAAGTGTTGATTTTGTTTCCTCCTTCCTTGTGCAGGGTTCTCTGACAAATATGTTGGTATAATGCTTACCATTATTTAATAGTTATAAACCCATTCTTATGATCTTACATTGTCTTTTATAAAACCAAGTTTGGAGAAAATAGATCCTGAGATCACAGTCAGGATAAAGTTTTAGGAGTCATGAAACTTGATTTTGAAGTTGTAGGCATTGGTACTCAGTTTTTGTTTCACCTTTTTTTAGCATCCTGAATGTAGACAATGCACTTAATTGAATTAGATGTTTTAAAAGTACTTGTCTTGTTTTTCTTGTTACAGTATCAAGATAAAGAAGAAGTTGTTTTATGGATGAATACTGTTGGGCCCTACCACAATCGCCAAGAAACATATAAATACTTTTCACTTCCATTCTGTGTAGGCTCAAAAAAAAGTATCAGTCATTACCATGAAACTTTGGGAGAAGCACTTCAAGGAGTTGAATTAGAATTTAGTGGCCTGGATATTAAATTTAAAGGTAAGTCAACATTAATAGTCCTTGCTGACATTGGGCCAGGTAATTTTATTGTATGGGGTTATACATTATGGATCTTCAGTGAAGTAAATTGTTAATAGAATGTTTCTCTAGCATAGTTTTTTCTGAAAAAAAGTATTTTTTCCAGTAAACTTTTTAGTTAATTAATACATGTATGGCCAGGGAAGGCCTTCACAAAATTCATAATAATTTTTGGAGATTTGAGTCTCCAAAGGGATATGTAGTTATTGAGAAGTGTGTGTAAAACCACAGATTTAACTTATACAATATACTTAGAATTTACTTGGTATTGTTATATTAATTCATCCTCTTAGTACCTAGAACATTTAAGAGTTAAGTCAGACACTGTTAAACTTGAGGGGAAGTCTATTGGAGCTGCTGTGAGACTGTGTTTATTCTTCGTGTGTTCCTCTGTGGAGGAGTACTTCCCTGCACAGGCATTGACTCCCTGCACAGGCATTGGTAGTACCGTGGCTAAAGAGTCTCTGGGAAGTTGGAGTTCTTTGATTAGGGGCCTTGATTTTTAATAGAACATGGGCATCGTATTAGCCTCATTTCTGTCACATACAGTTGACTGTAGTAACATTGTTGTTTGCTTCACTTCCTTGTGTTCATGGTATGTAATATGAATAGTACCTGCCTTCTGATATTTTTAGTGCACTGGGACTAGGCTACAAAATGAGATATGAAGGTAATGATACTTTGGTTTATTAAATTATGTTATATATCAGACATTTTTTGTTACTGTTTTGAAAATGGTTATACATTTTATACCTCCTCCCTAATGCCCCTTGGGACCTAATTATAAAATTGAGTTGTAAATTTAAACCACAGTGGTGTGGACTATAATTTTATGAGTGTTGAAAACATACCCTGAGGTGCATGTTTTAATTTAATAATGTAATTGAATCACAAATACTTAATCACAAATAGGAAGAAACTAAACTAGAACATGCAATCTTTGAGAACCCCAGTGCTGTATTTATCCACCTAGTTTCTCCTTTTCCATATTTGATAGACATGTCTCCTTTACTAGAGAGGAGCTAGCGAAAGAATAAATCCTCAAGTCCTGCTTTGGAGCAGTTATTTCATCAGATTTGAAACCCTTATGCCTTACTTACCTGAAGGAACATTTCCTCAGCAGTCTTAACCTTATGTTTTTCTCTTAATTTCGAGCCTGAGATGGAAATAGTCAGGGGCTGCTACTATGGGCTTGAAAGTGAGGTTTGTTTTCTTTTCAGATTAAGCTGGGTACTTGAGGGATGAAAGAACTACCAGTTGTAATAGAAAGGTAGCAGTTCTTGGGGTCTAGCTAGTTCTGCGCCTTTAGGTGAACGATGCAGCTAACTTGGGTAGCCCAATTGAAGTAGCCAGTGGGAATTGATTTCTGTTTCCTCCACTATAGGCTTTTGTTTCTTTGGTTTATGGATATTGATGATCATGCTTTGAAAGTGTTCCTGATTGTTACTTATTTTTATAAACTTTTAAAGATAGCATGCTCTCATACTAATACTAATAATACAGTAGAAACCAGAACACTGTCTCAATGTGAACCATTGATCCATCTATCGGTCTGTCTGTCTATCTACCTGCCTACCCACCTGCCTGCCTACCTACCTGCCTACTTAAATACACACCTACATACCTACCTGCCTATCTATCTATTTATTTTGAGGTGTTTTAAGATAGGGACTTATGAAACTCAGGCTGGCCACAAATTTTTTTATGTAGCTAAGGCTGGCCTTGAGCTTCTTACTCTCTTGTCTCCACCTCCTGAGTGCTGGGATTACACACATGTACCATTATATCCTGCTACTATTTGTTTTTAAGTCTTTCATATCAAGTATTTGACTTTTAATGATTCTTTGGAAGGCATATTCATATGTAGTAAAATTTTGAAAATGGCACATGTATACCACACATGCAATAAACAGAAACAAACACATGCGCGCGCACACACACGTACAGAAAGTTTTGTTTTTTTCTTTTAACCTAGCAGATTCTGTGAAGCTGATTGGATTGGTACCATTTTGTAGCATTGAAGGTCACTAGAGAGATTATGTTAAGGAACTAACCATAACCCTGTCTGAAGACAGACCATTTTAGGTCTGGGTTGTATAGGATGACTTCAGATTTTATGCAGATTTTTTTCTTTCTTTTTTTTTTTAATATGCTAGTGCTAGACAGAAATGCTAATTGAGACCATTTAAGAGAAAATGCGTTAAATACACAAGGACAGATCTATATTAGGCATCTTTGAGCCAGGCCTCATTTTATTACTGTCTAATTATGGGTACTATCTTTTAGGACATTGCTGTAATGGAGTGGCAAGAACTTGTCTTAGTCTTAGAATCAGACGTGGTATAGCTCAGCTCTCTCTGCCTGTACCTACTTGTGTGGTTGTAGGGAGATAATTCAGCCTCTTTGATCTTTTGTAGTTTGTAGTTCTTGTCTGGGAAGCAAGGGAACTAATATACCCGATAGAATCATTGCGGGTCTATAGTTTATGTTTGAGGAATTGTGATTGCTGTGCCTCTTAATATACATAGTATGGATCTGGATTCTACTTGTTTATATATTAGCAATTCTGAAATGTTAGTTTACTGATTGTAGAATTTTATCTATTCCCAAATTACCTTACTCTCCTCTGGTTCCATTAGGCTAGTATATTCTTTCACACCCTAGCTGTTAAGATTGAGTAAACTCTTAATAAATTGTCTAGCATCATAAAAGTAAATATACATTCTCCAGATGCTAGACAATGTTCTAAGAGATAGTACCCATTATTAGATGATTGAGATCATAATTCTTATCTTTGTTTTGTTTGCTCGCTTGCTCTCTCTGCCTCTCGTGTGTGTGTGTGTGTGTGTGTGTGTGTGTGTGTGTGTATGTGTGTGTGTGTAAAAAGTTATTACCATGTGGGGCAGGCTAGCTTAAGCCTAGCGTTTATTGTAATATCCCTTGCTGGCCCTTGCCAAGGTTGGCTTTGAACTTATGATCCTCTGTCTCAGTCTCCTGAGTGCTGAGATTACAGCCATGAGTCATCATGTCCATCTGAGATAATATTTTTAACCAGGGGAGTCACTGCCTGGCACCTTTCCCTATTATTTGAGAATCCTATGGTATATATAATAAAGGACATTAATAGTTGAAAAATAATGATGCCTAGTGATTCTTCCTTTCCACATACTATATTATTTTTCTTTTTAATTATTTCTTCTTTTAATATCCTAACCTAATATGTAGATGGCATTTTGTATTTTTATCTTGGGTGCTGCAGATATGGAGGAATGTCAGTGCTGTTTAAATCCTTATGTAATTAGAGTTAGGTGATTCTCCATCTTGGCTCTCCAGTTCGCTGTCTTTGGGTGCTTGTGTTTCAGTGTGTGAGCCCTCAGCTTCTGCTCCAGCTGCCTTGCTTGCTTGCTTGCTGCCGTGCTTCCCTACTGTGATGGGCTCTATCTCTCTGGAGCTGTAGCCCAAATACATTCTTCCCTCTTGTTGCCTTGGACATGGTGTTTGGTCACACACAGCAATAGAAGAGTAACTCCTACTACTATTTTGTTTTTCCTGAAGAACTCACATTCTTTTATACTTACAGTTGAGGACTTTTAGGAGGGAGAAGAAATCCTCCTATGCTTAAACTTTCCTTGATAATTGGAGGTACAGGAGCTTGCTGCTAGATTTTTCTTCCTGTTGGTTTCAATCCGTCAGTGTTTTAACCAGACCAAACAATTAGCGTCTGAAACTTGTCAATTCTTTAGTCTTTAGTACCTTGTGCTAATTGTAATATAGTTTCACTACGTAAGATTAGGATCTTCAGAAGAATATAAAAATAGAAATTTCTATTCATCTAAATTGTTTAAAAAATAAATTAAATGAATCATATTTGTGCAATCCTGTAATTCTAACACGTATGAGGCTGAGATGGAAGGATTGGTAATTCCCAGTCAACCTGGGGTCCATGTTAAGATCATATTACAGGAAAGTGAAAATTGAATTCATGTTACTTATGTTGTTTTTTTTTTCTTTTAAAAAGCTCAACCCTCATATAGTGCTTATTATATGCCACTATTTTGAGTATTTCTAACTCAGTTAAGTTATACATAATTATTTTTATATTCCTTTTTTCTTATGACGTTTGTGAGTTTGTCCTTTTTTTTTTCCCAAGTTGTTTTTTTTTTTTTTTTTTTTTGGTTTTTCAAGACAGTGTTTTTCTGTATTGCTTTGGAGCCTATACTGGAACTTGCTCTGTAGACAAGTCTGGCTTTGAACTCACAGAGATCCACCTGCCTCTGCCTCCCGAGTGCTGGGATTAAAGGCGTATACCAGCAATGCCTGGCATGAGTTTGTGTTTATATTGTTATTCTTAAAATGTGGCTAGGTATTACTCTGAAATTAGGATATGCAATTTTCCCCACTCTAGTTACAAGGTGATCTGCTCCCTTCCTCTTTTTCTTTTTCGAAATAACAAAGCCTTTTGTCAGTTTTTGCATAAAGTATTGTAATGCATCTATAGATCTTTTGCAAGCCTAAGTTTTTAGAAGTTAGAAATATGAAATTGAAAAACAGACAGAAAGACAGTCAGACAGATAGACAGACAAACAGACACACACACACACACACACACACACACACACACACACACACACACACACAGAGTTGAAAGCCAAAAAACATTTTAAGGCAGTTTTCTTTCTTCTTCCCTCCCCCCCCCCCCACTTGGTTTTTTTCAAGACAGGGACTGGGTTTCTCTGTGTATGTTTGGGGCCTGTCCTGGAACTCAGTAGACCAGGCTGGCTTCAAACTCAAAGATCTGCTTGCCTCTGCCTGCTGAGTGCTAGGATTAAAGGCGTGTGTCACCACTGCCTGGACTCATTTTTTTTTTTTTTTTTCTTTTTTTAAATTAGGGACTGAACTGAGGGGAGGACCTCATGAATGTGTAAGCAAGTGCTCTTGCGCCATGCTACATTTCCAGCCCTTAAAAAAACAAAAAACAAACAAAACAAAACAAACAAAAAAAAAAAACCCTTCTTATTTTAAGACACATCCATGCTAAATTACATGGCCTAGATTTGAGCTTGTTCAGTAGCCCTGGCTGAATTTGAGCTTGCAATCCTGTATTAGCTTTCAAGTTGCTAGGATTACAGGGTTGTACCACTAAGCCAGTTGGCAGTTTGTGATACCTATTACCAAGTAGCCTACAAATTGTGGTTTATGTTGCTGGTCAGGTTTCTCAGTTATTATGTACTTTTTATATAGTTTTTAAATTAACTGTGCATATACCAGTATTTCCAGTCCATGCTTTTTCTTTTTAATTATTTGGTGGTTTTTGAGTATATAATTTCACTCCAGACTGCTGGGCTGTGAATCTAGTTTAATCAGACCTCTGCATTCAGGGCTCCCTCTCTGTGGGCACTCTGAAATTGTGTGCTTAATTTTGTGTGAATGTACATTTGCAGGGTGGGATGGGGGTGGGTTTGTGGCAGGGGAAGTAACACTTTCATGATTCTCTCAAGAGTGTGAGGTCAGAAATACTTAAGAAAACTAAATGCATTCACACTAAGCCTTAAAAGAAGTCAGCACAGTTATTTTCAGTTTCACAGTTGAGGGCTACATGAGGGTCATAGAGGTTAAACCATTTGTTTTTGTTCAGGTAGCTAGTAAGTAGTGGGACTCAAACCAGAACTCCAGAATTTACCCATGTCTCGTTGTGATTTCACTATAATTTTGCTAAGTGCTATTGAATTTGAGGTAAGAATCTGCTTTTTCATTTTAGTAATGCCATCAAAAGAGAAAGTGTAAGTATGGTAGCATGGTACATTTCGGGGGAACTCAGTATTTGCAGTGTTATTTTCTGGACTTTTATTAGGCACACAATGGCACTTAGGTTCTGGGATCTACTTAGTGTGGTAATCTGTTTGAAAAGTAAGTAGCAACATTTGCTAAGTTATGGCTTTGTTTTTGTCCCCTCCTTAAGATTTCTACATTGCCAAAATCTCAGTTGCATCTTCTTCAGAATTTGTAGGTTTGGTTTTATGTGAGGAAGGTATGCTCTGTTATTTTCAACCAGTGACTTATGACAAGATTTTTTTTTTTTTTTAGGCTAGTTTTTCAGTTATATATAATGTGGACAGTCACTTGGCATCTTTGTACACATTGTCTTCACAGCAATTCCCCCCTGAGAGGAGTGCTGTTTTGGTTGGGCAGTCAGGCTGTTGAATTATTTGTGAGGCTTATATTTGCCTTCATATCTGAAAGAGGAATTTCATTAAAATGACCACCCACTGTCCTTTTTGCAGTGCCGTGATAAATTGGTGATAAAACTAGGAACCTCAGCAGAAGTGGAGTGTGTGTGTGTGGGGGAATCAGGGAATACTCTATGGAGGAGAACCTGTGGATGATAAAGATTTTAGAATGGTCTTCCTGCTAGAGTTAGTGTGAGCCCCATGCTCCATAGGCCAGAGAGTACATATTCACAGGGATTGTGGGCAGTTCAGTCATGGTAGAGTGGAAGGGAAGAGGATGGTTATGAGTGAGGAAACTTGAATTGGCGTTAGATTGTGGGGAATCCTTTATATAGGTAAACACATGATGTGTATCACAGGACTTTTTACTTAAAACTATCACATTGATGATGTCCATTTAAATAGTGTAACAGCATACAGTGGCTTTGCGGGACAGCTGTGAGTCTTCTGCAGCCACTAGAGTGATTTGTTGCACGCCAAGCCTGGACTTCTTTCATCCCATCTGTCCCGTCTGATCCATCTGCTGTTGCCCTTGCCCTCTGTAGATTAGTGTACTCTGTAGAAGTCTCTTTTGGATACCTCCTGCTGACAGACAGTTCTAGCTTTTGCTGTGGAAACTCTTTAGAGCAATTTCATTTCCTCTTAACTGTTCAATACTAGATACTACCATTGTGAAAATCCTAGATTCCTTGTTGTTCAAAAGGGATGAAGTAGGAAGAAAATGTGTGTGCAAGTCATAGGCAGTGTTATATTTTTGTACTTGGAGGGTAAGAGTAGGTGGGTCTTCCCTATCCCCCTTCCTTGGGAGATGGCTGGGCTGTGTTATTTGGGATGGATCCACTCCAGGCTAATCTCTCACAAGAGGAAGCTGTTTTCTCAGACATGCTCTCTAATATCAAGTTGTAATTCAGATGACTAGTTCATAAGGAAATATTGTTACAGGTAGCCATTAAATTCATCATTCATCTATAACCTTTAAAAAACAGTAATACTTAAGAAATTCATGTTTCTGTGGGAAAATTGAATTTCAGATTCTAAATTACCAGAATAACATTAAGAAAATGTATTTATTTTTTATTCTTGTTAAGATTTATATTGTTGTAATTGCTTAAATAATATATCAGAAGTTTAATCCTTTTGATTGTCACCTAGAATTTTATTTTTAAATAAACATTTTTGAAATGTTTTGAAATGGCTTCTGTGGCCATTGATGACTTGGATTTCTGTGCTATTGGAATCAATGTATATTTGAGTGACCCTAAAGCTACTCTTATCTCTGCTTAGACTCATATCCTTATGCTCTTTTGTTCTTTGTTTTTATATCAGTTTATTTTAAAGGGACTTTGTTATTGTTGCATTATTTCCTTATATATTTCTTCATGTAAGGTAATCTTTGAAAATAAAGACGATAAAAATCTTTCATTATAAGGTAATGGAAGGTATACAGAAACTGGATAGGATAGCTCACTGTACTCCCATGTGCTTATCACCAGACTACTGAACAATTGGAAATAGAAATTAGCCTATGCAGATGCTGACTTTTTTCTTGTGCTGTATTTCCTGTAACTATTTTCAAGCCAAATCAGTTAATTTGTAGCTTTTACTTTGCAGATGATGTGATGCCAGGTACTTACTGTGAAATTGACTTAGATAAAGAGAAGAGAGATGCATTTGTGTATGCTATCAAGAATCACTATTGGTACCAGATGTACATAGATGACTTACCAATATGGGGTAAGTACTCTCTGTTACAAAGTAAAATTTCATATAACCAGTTAGTTAAGGTGACCATATTCTAGATCGTGATGGAAATGTTTTTCTACTCTTTGCTCCAGAATAGTCTTTAATGATGATTTTTATGGCTTCCTCCTACTGGAAGCATTTTTGGTACTGCCAAACCTTATAGGAAACTTTCAAATAACGGGTTTATATGGTGAGACTTTTCAGACTCAAGGAATTCAGAGGCTCTTGGAACATCTGAAATTTCACTCTTCTGTAGTTTCTTCACAGCTTATTTTCTCTTAAATAGAGTGGAGGGATTGAATAGGATTTTTGGAATTTGCCTCTTTATGTGACGCTATAGTAGTATTTTAGGGGCATGATAATTTCTTGAATGCTTTATTTTATCAGTTTTTGTCCTTTTCTAAAACATTCAATATTGAAGTGTTTTTTGTTTGTTTGTTTGTTTTATTTATTATTATTTTTTTTGATACAGGGTTTCTTTGTGTAACACTGGCTGTCCTAAAACTCAACTTTGTAGATCAGGGTGGCCTCAAACTCATATAGATCTACCTGCCTATGCCTCCTGAGTGCTGGGATTAAAGGCGTGCACACTGGGCTGAAGAATTACTCTTGTTTAGCTCTTGCTTGTCCATATTATTGGGGAAGAGGCATAATATGGTTAATACAAACTTAGGCATAGGGGCTGTTATTCTACTCTGTGTTAATTAGGTATATAAAATAAGCATTTTTTATAAATGACTGTATTAGTGTTACAGTACACAGGCATTTCTGTGATCAGCTCTGAGGGTGGAGGAAGATAGATAGGGTAAGGGCTTGTTGAAGATTTCTGAGCCTATAGTTCAAGAGCTCATTAAACAAGGCTCTTCTTCATTTGCAGTGAGAACAGATTCTTTTCTTAGTTCTCCTGTTATTTATTTATTTATATATATCTCATATACCAGGCACTGTGGTTCATGCATCCCAGAGGCAGAGGCAGAGGCAGGTATATCTTTATGTGTTCGAGGCCAGCCTGATCTACATAATGAATTCTAGGACAGCCAGGACTACATAAAGAGACCTTGTTTCACCCCCTCCTCCCCCCATCCCAACCATATTCATTTATTTAGTGTTGGGGGAGTGGAATGTGCACTTGGGCCACAGCATGGGTGTGGAGGGCAGAGCACAGTGGAGTCTGTTCTTTTTCACCATGTGGGTCCTGGGGTTTGAGCTCAGGTTATCAGGCTTGGTGGCAAGTGCCTTACCCTACCGAACCATCTCTCTGGTTCATTGTATTCTTTTTCAAATTTGCATCTTTGGTTTTTGTTTTCCTAATCATTCCTGTGGGCCTCTTTAGCAAGAGCGACACTGTTCTTTGTTATAAATTGTGTGTGTGTCCATTGTGGACATGTGGAGGCCAGAGGTCATCTTTGGGTGTTGGGCTTCAGATGCTGGCCACACTTATTTGTTTGTTTTTTTGTTTGTTTATTTGCTTGCTTACTTTTTGAGATAGGTCTTTCACTCAGGCTGGTAGTCACTGAATAGGCACAGTCAGCCAGCCATTAAGCCCTAAGACTTCTGTCTTCACTTGCACAGCCCTGGAATTATAAGCACTTACCACCATCTCTAGCTTCTTTATGTAGAGATTGAACTCAGGTCCTCATGCTTATAGCAAGGACTTTACCAACTGAGCAGTTTCTCTAGCCCCTTAAAAATCTGTTCTTAGAATTACAATTTCAGGGTCTGCTGTGTTTAAATATTTTTGCATAATCTGTAATATCTGAACCTGGGCATTCCTCTTCCTTCTTTGTTAAGAAAAAAAAAAAATCCAGTATGATGTTTCTTGAACAAAAGTTTCAGCCTTTGAAAAGTCTTAGAGAAGCTGTGTCTTCATCCCCAAGGCTAGTTTTTAGAATAGGTAGACAAATGAATTCCCCCTTTTCTCCCTTTCTTCCTTCCTCTCCCCCTCCTGCCCTCTCTGTGTGAGTGTATACGTGGGTGGGTGGGTGTGATCACTAAGTAGCTGGGTTATTTTGACATATGATGACATGAAGAGTGTTTCTGAAAACCTGAGCTTCTAGGTAGTATGCACAAGTAACGTGACAATTGCAGCAGCAGAGGTGCTAGTGGTGACAGAGAGAGAGCTCTAAGTATCACATCTGTGACCATTTATGCTCAGCTTGTCCTTATTTTGTACTAGTGTGACCATGGTATGTGTTTGCTAAGAAGTCCAGGTTGCATTTTTGTCTTGTGGTAACTATGAAGATGGCTTCTGGGTGCTTTGAATTCCTTGTATGAACTGTTTTTTCTTTTGTAGGTATTGTTGGTGAAGCAGATGAAAATGGGGAAGATTACTATCTTTGGACCTACAAAAAACTTGAAATAGGCTTTAATGGAAATCGAATTGTTGATGTTAACCTAACCAGTGAAGGAAAGGTCAAATTGGTTCCAAATACTAAAATACAGATGTCATATTCAGTAAGTTTTAAGATAATTGTATATAGGAAGAAATGGTTGTGTTTGTAAACTTTAGAAAATAAATATGTAGCTGAAAATTAGATGCAACAAAATTTCTCAGTGCATTTACATTAAGTCTCCCAAAGGAAAAGTATGTGCTTTAGATCTATAGTATGGGATGCTTAATGAGTATTGTTCTAACACAGTTACCATTGGCACCAGAAGGTGACAACTCAGCCATGTATCTTCCTGATGATTTTAGGTTGTAGGTGCTCATGTTATTTCTCTTTTCATTTGCTGTGGCAAATAGAAATGGTATGAAAGTTGCTGGGTAGGTGTAGATTGCTATGATTTGCATTATTTGATGGGAAGACTTACTCCTGCATAGTAAGAGCTTCTCAGAGTCCTTTAGCAACTCTGAAGCTAATTCTGTCCTGTTAGCTTAAAAATGATGGAAAAAAGAGAGGAGATTTTCTCTTTGCCAGTTATTTTCCTGGTCATTGAAAAGAATCTCCTTGCTTATAGCCAATTTTGAAAATTCTTTTTGTCTATATGTACCCAGCATAAGTAATTATTATATAACTACTAAGAAACGTAATATTTGTCATAAAACCACAATTTAAATACAAAAATATATGTATCCTTATTTGAATTGGTTTAAATGCTTGTAGCGTGAGTTGGTTGGTATTAATTCCTAACACATAGGCAGTATGTCAGTCTACAGTAATTAGTTCTTGAAAGCTGAAATGATCCCTCTAAGCAAAGTTTTAATATAATACTGTACTTGTTTAAACTTTTTGTATTGGGGTTGGAGAAATGGCTCAGTGGTTCAGAGCGCTGATTGCTCCTCTGTAGGACCTAGGTTCAATTCCTGGCAGCTTCAGGGCAGCTCACAACATCTTAACTGTAGTTCCAGGGGATCCAGAACCCCCTTCAGGCCTCTGCTCACACTACACATGTGTAGTGCACAGACACATACCCATATACATAAAGTCATAAAATAAAAACAAACATCTGGTACATCAGTATCTTCTCACTATTTAATTTTAATTGTGAGTCGGTATTTGTGAATTTTATATGAGTTTTGCCATTAGATTATTATTTATTGGTCTTAATTTTTAAGTGGGGTTATTTTTTTCAGGTAAAATGGAAAAAATCAGATGTAAAATTTGAAGATCGATTCGACAAATATCTTGATCCATCCTTTTTTCAACACAGGGTAGGTGTTTGTACTTTAAGATACAACATATGTGTACAGATCAGTTTCACATTGAGCATCTGCCTATGTGGGTCATTGTGCTAAGGACTATGGATTTCAAGATAGAACTACTGGTGATTTGAGATGTATATTTAAAGTCATCAGGATGATAAAGAATAATAAAACTAGCTCTCGTGATACTGTAAACCAGTTAAGAGACATACAGGGGAAGGCACAATATGTGGGAGTCAATTATAACACTTTAATTGTGAATGATGGTAATACTGGATAATGTGATTGATACCCAGGGTCAAACAGACTTCTTAATACTGACACTCATAATTAGATGAATGTTATTGGCAGGCTTCCCTACATCTGCCCCTACCCTGATAAAACTTAGAGTGTGGAGAAATAACCAGAGAAGGGACTCATCTCTTGGAAAGTACGGGTGAGAGAACAGTGCAGGTTTTGCTAGTATAAATCCTTCTACGTGGAAGATCAAGAAAGGGGATAAATGCTTCCCATAGTCCTCATTCTTCACCAGCACATGTAGGCTGCCTAAAGCACCTAGGTCGGGGTTTGGCTGGAGACTCAAGCTCAGTTTAAGGCAGCATTGTTGGTGATGTTCCTTGTTATCTCCAGTCTAAAAATTCAGCAGTAAACACTTAGGATTAGCAACACTAGGGGGCACTGGAGTGCAGCAGTTGGTAGGTTCAGTAATCTCTGATACCTGTTTGCTTTATTATTTTTATACTTAATCATAGCCAAAAGGCTTATTAGTGATGTTTTATTATTTTTAATAACTATTTTCCTGGTATAAGAATTTTAAGAGTATGCCACATGATATATTTTTTAAAGTAATTCCAAAGGGATATTAGAAGTTTTAGATAATTGATACTGCACTAATGTAGGTATTGATTTCAAGTTTATACCTTAGATTGTATTTTTTAGATTAGAAAATAGCAGAGAACCTAATTAGAAATTTTAATACTTTACATTTTTAATTTATATTTTAAACATGCAGACTATATGTATTTATGAGGAAGCTTCAATATACATACACACACAATGCATTGTTTAAGACAAATTAAATATCCCCTCAAATTCGAATACTTGTCATTTTTTTCATGATGGAAATATAAGGGGCTGATTGATGGCTTAGCTGGTGAAGTGCTTGCTGCCAGGGCTAGTGGCCTGCATTCAATTCTTGGGACCCACATGGTAGGAGGAGAGGACTGACTCCCAACGTTGTCTGACATCTACAAACAAATGTAATACAAGTTTTTAAAAAGAACATTCAAATGCACTTTTGAAATGTGTATTGTACATTGTCATTATCTGCCTACAAAAGAAGATACATATAAAAGAAACCTTTCATATACTTTCACATAAATACCTACAATACCTGCAGAAGAAAAGCACCCTACGTGTGATAACACACCAGAACAGTGCATTCTTCCCACCTATAACTTTGTACTTTTTGATAACTTTAACCCAACCCTTTCCCCCTCCTATTTTCTGCAGCCTCTTGCTGCAGACCCATTGTTTGCTGTCAGGTTCAAAGAGAGCACTTGTGTATACCACCACATACAAGTGAGATAATGTACTTGTCTTTCCCTGCTTTATTTTATGTAATACTTTTTAGCTCCATTCATGTGGAAAGTTTTAGCATTTAAGGCATACTTTTCTTATTACTAAGTGTATATAAAATTTTTCTCTTTAAAACCTCGATCAGTTGACTGACGATTTGAGTCATACATTTCCCCTCCTTTCTATTGACCTTTTTTTGTGTTATTTATTTCCTAAGTGGAAACAAAAATCCCATTTTTGGAGACATCTGCCATTTCATTTTACACTGCTTTTTAAAATCCTTGGTGACACCTTTATGATAAATTTGCATAGTCTTTTTGGGACAAACGTCTTAAAGTATGATGCATTAATTGTTTCATTTATAAATTCAGTGGGTGCTCAGTAAATTGTTGGGAGGAGGAAAATCATAGCATATGTCTCCTTCCTGAAGCCCCAGCGTAGGTAGCAGAGCCAACACTGCCCTTCCCATTCTTGCACTTCCTTAGCATTTTAGCCCAAGTAAAAAAATCTGCCCTCATTATATAAGCCAGTATGCCCTTGTGTTGTTTTCTTGGGAGCCATGTAGCTCAGAGCAGACTTTCTATGAATAACTGCAGTATGCAAGTGAAAGGCTCTGTAGTGGAGAGGGCACTATTTAATTTGAAATTTGAAGACTGGGGAGAATTTACAAAGGAGTGTAAGTCACATGTGAGAAGAAATTATATGAAAAATAAGAAGACGAAAGTGAATATGCTATCCTTGGTCACCGAACAGTGGTAGAACCAATAGAACTGTAAGGTGCAATGGAAAAAAAGGTTGTTGAAGATGTAGAAGGCGATTTTACAGGAAGGATAGAATCCTGGGAAATTGGTTTGCTGGCTATGAGGAAATTGAGCTGTGTAAGTTTTTGGAACAGAGAGTGATAATGAACATCACATTGTGGAAAGATTTGTTTGATAACCTTGTACAGTATACATTGGAAAGAAGGAGAGAGATCAGACAGCAGCAAGAGGCTAAGGGGAAATTAGACTTGTTGAATTGTGAGATGATACCATGGGAATGCAGAGGAAGGGATAAATTTCAAAGGAAAGCAAGTTTAATAATTAGGACTAGAGAGATGGCTCAGAAGTTAAGAACACAGTACTTGCGCAGAGCACCTAAGTTCAGTTCCCAGTATTCATGTCTGACCGTTCACAACTGTCTCTTACTCCAGTGCCAGGGGACTCCTTCCCTGGCTTCCACATGCACCCACACATGTATGCATATACTCATGCACTGCTACACATATACAATTAAAACTAAAATAAATCTTAAGTTCAATAACTATTACTTATTAATAATTAAGGAGGAGGAAGGACCAAAAATAATTCTAAATTTTAAAGGCCAGATATTAGTTCCATTAATAGAAGCTAAAGAATAGGAAATGAGTGGCATATCTAAGGAAAGATGATAAATCTACTAAGTGTAGTCCCAACCTGAAATTCCTTGAAAGCATTTAAGAGGGAATTGTGGTAGTTAGTGAAAGTCTGAACCATGAAGTCGAGTGAAAGCTGGAGATTTGAGCAGATGAAGGCTGAAGGTGTTAACCAACATCATCACCGGAAAAAGCTGGTACAAAGTTCTTGAGCCTAGGAATCATGGTTGAATACCAAGACTGGAGCTTTTGGTTAAGTTGGCCAAGGGTGAACAGTGGGAATATGAAAAAGAAGCAATAGTTAGTGACTTGGGATGGTTGAGTGCCAGCAAAGGTTAGAATTGGCAGAGGGATAGGGAGATGGAGCAGATCACCCAGCTTCTGAATCAATTTAGAAGTTCATCGCAGGGGTCAGTGAGCTGGCTCATTGGTAAAAGTTGTTGCCCCCAAGCCTAATGACTTCAGCTTAATCTTTGGAGCCCACACGGAATGTGAGAACTCCCACAAATTATCCTCTGATCCGTTCACAAATATATATACATACAAAATTAATAAATGTTAAAAATATTCAGAACTTCATTGCAGGTCTTTGGGGGTCAGATCGCATTGTGAAGAAATGCGGAAGAAATGTAGTCTTGTTTGAAAAGTGTTGGTTACTTTTTATAGGACAAAAATGTAATAGACATTGTAAAAGATGTGAATATTCATAGCATAGAGTTTGTGATGTGTACTCAATTCTCTCTGCCTTCTGCTGCCTTCTGGTTAACCCTTGTGATGATTCTGGAAGTAGGCAATACTAAGTCGAAATGGAAGCAAATGAATCCATTGGGTTGATATCACAGACTGCTTTTTCTTACAAATTTTCAGTTCTTTTATTCCTTTTTTTTTTTTTTTTGCAAAGTTTTCAAAATATGCAGTCATTGTTTTGTTTATAATTCTAGCAGGTACTCAGTTAGGTAAGTTAGTGGAGGATGGATGGATGGAAGGAAAGTAAGTAGGTAGGTAGGTTGGTTGGCTGGTTTTTGTGTGAGTCAGACAGTTAGTTGGTGATCTGCACTTCAGGAAGAGCTGTAGAATTTGTCCTGTCCCCAAAGCTCAGGGAGGGTCACCAAGTCTGGTGTATATCCTCAGCACATTAGACCAAGTTAAAGCTGTTCTCGTCCTATAGGGAGATTGCTGATTCTGGAGAAAGGCAATTGGTGTTGGGTGCTGATGGTGTGTTTTGGGGGTGGGGTACAGAATGAGAGAGGAAAACCCCTCAGTGGGAATGAGTAGTACAAGTCTTGGAGAACACATCTAAGCAGGTTGTGTTGTGCTGGATGGTAGAAGACAGGGGAAAACATGACGTTGGGAACTTGAAGAAGAGAGAAACTTCAGAAATACCCAAGACCTTTGGTAACTGAGTAAGTGTACAAAACCACAGACTTAGTTCAAGTTAGATGTACTTTGGCAATAAAGTAGTGCTTGGTAACTATAGGCCACAATCTGGATATATTTTTGTGACAAATGTACAGACAATGTCAAAGTCAAGAGCCTTGAGAACAATGAGGAGTTGAGGAATACCTTCTTGTTCTGGTAGCCACTGGGGTTGACTACTTGGGAAAGGAAAGGACAGTATGCAGATGATATGACATGACTAACTGAAAGCAAGTGAGGAAGCCTATATCCATGGTGGCGGCGGTGGTGGTGGGAACTGCAGCATTTTAAAGAGGCTTTCAGCTTTCAGTCACTTAGGAGACAAGCACATTTATTATCTACGGTTCCTGCCAGACACAGTGCCATGCCCTTGCGTCATCTATCTCTGTAGTGCACACAGCACAGGGTGCTGCCTCCATTTTCACATGAGAGAGCATGGAAGTTGGCAGAACTTAAGCTAAAACCTAAGCCTTTTTTATTTCATTGCCCCTGTGCTTTCCATGGAAAGCTGATTTGTGTATGCCTTATGGCTAAATAATATTTAAGTGGTTTAGTAAATACAACTGAAAAATCTGTAGATGATAGCATGCTTTTCTAAAGGTTGGTTTTAAGGAAGGCTAGTCCTTATCATTCTGAACACTTACCCCAATGAGTCTGGAGTTTGGAATTTTTATATAAAAGATAGGAAAATGCTGTTTTTCTCCTGTTAACCTACAGTTGACATCATAAAACATGAGTTTTATAACTGATACGTCACACTGGTAACACTTTATTCTCTGTTATTTTAGATTCACTGGTTTTCAATTTTCAATTCCTTCATGATGGTGATCTTCTTAGTGGGTTTAGTTTCCATGATTTTAATGAGAACTTTGAGAAAAGATTATGCCCGATACAGTAAAGAAGAAGAGATGGATGATATGGTGAGTAAACACTATATTTAATAAAAACTCTTTGTCATAAATTTATTTTAGGTGTGTGTGCACATGTTCGTGCATGTATGTTACAGGTGCTTAGATAGGTTAGATGTGTTGGATTCCCCTGAGAGTTGCAAGCCACCTGATGTGGGCACTGGGAATTGAACTTGGGTCTTTTCAAAGACTTTTAAATATATTTTTTAAAGATTAAAAATATTTATTAGTGTTGTTTGTGTGTATGATGTCTGTGGGCATGCATGCCAGAACATGTATGTTGAGGTCAGAGGACAACTTGATGAAGTTGTTTCCCTTCTTCCACCTTTACATGGGTCCTAGGGTTGAACTCAGGTGGTCAGAATTTGCCTGCTGAGCCGTCTCCAGCCAATTGTATTTTTAATGTTGGAATATAGATTGCAGTTTCTCATCTAAAGTTAGTAAGGACAGGTGAGTTTTCAGAATTCAGGATTCTTAGGTTTCAAAGAAGACATAAAGCCAGGTGCAGTAGCAGATACCTGTAGTTCCAGATATTCAGGAGACTGTGGCAAGGGGATTGCCTGGACCCAGGACTTTGAGACAAGCCTTACTTTTCTGGTGATGTGGCTCAGTGGGAAAGTGCTTGCCTGGTGTTGGAGTTAATCCCCAGCATTGCAAAGTTTAAAAGCAATAATGATAATGTTCCCTGTGAGATCTAGAATCATGCTCTATTATTTTTTCTTCAATAGAACGTAAATGTTCCCCTGAGTGAGATGTGATCTCAGTATGATGTCACACATCATACTTAGGAAACAAACTGTAGTTTACAGAGCGCCTGGTTTTAGAATCACTTTCAGGGAGATATAGGATAGTTTTGATTATTTAATATTTAAATATTAATATTTGATTAATTAATATTTAATATTGTTAAGTGTTGAATTAAATTTAAGGGATGGGTAGAAGGATTAATATACATTTAGTTTAATGGTTCAAAGAGATCCTTAATGCTTTATTAAATTACAGAACCAACAGTGTCCCATAGAATACTAATATCTAGGTATACTTCATTAAATAGGCCTGAGAGACAGTTTAAAATGTCAAATCTTAACATGCTAAGACATTGTGATAATGGTAAAAAAAATTCCCTCTTAAATAGTTTCCTTAAGAAACTTTGTTTCAGAAATTGCTTAAGAATCATTGGCTGTTATTCAGACCGAATGTAAATATCGAATTTTTTTTTAAGCTGTAGATAGCTAAATATCCCTATCTGATATTTTCCCTTGGGCTGTAAAGGGCATTTCTGTATTTTTAGGGTAAGTACTGGTATAAATATACTTGTCTTTTCTTGTCTGCTTGGCCATTGAGGGTGGTGAACCTTAGTCACCACGTGAGTGGCAGCGTGGGGCTTGAGTCCTTCACTCTTCCTTTTGCTCCCCAGCCTTTTCTCCCCCTGCATTTGCCTTCCTGAATCTCAATACAGTGTTAGGACAGGGGGTAACTTGAAATGTCTCTCCTCAGTAATTTGAACTCTTAAAAAGCTGTAAGTGTGGAAGGAGGGAGTTTACAACTATTATTTCTTACCTTACTTTCAGTGTGATTCTGAATGGGTTAATTTCTCTCTGTACATATTTCTATGTCTTATATACAGGATAGAGACCTAGGAGATGAATATGGATGGAAGCAGGTGCATGGAGATGTGTTTAGACCATCAAGTCACCCTCTGATATTTTCTTCTCTCATTGGTTCTGGATGCCAGATATTTGCTGTGTCTCTCATTGTTATTATTGTTGCCATGATAGAGGATTTATACACAGAGTAAGTGCTTATACTTTACCACTTTTTGTTGTTGTAAATAGTTTTTTAGTCATTATAATCTATTAAGTCAACCATTATTAAATATTCACTTATTTCAGTAATTTAGAATTTTAGTAATTTACTGTCCATGCTATTATTGTTGACAAATCTTAACTTTAAACTTTAAATGTTTTCCTGTATATGCTTAAACTTTCCATCATTGCTGATCATTCCAAGTTGCACTGGTTATGTCATTAGAGAGGCAGAACTACTTTTAGTCCAGCAGAACTACTTTTAGTTCAGAGCTGTTTGAAAAAGGAAACAGACATTTTTCAGATTCATCTGGATTATCATAATTTCAGTTACTAAATTAATACTTAACATTTATACTCAGACTGAGACCTCTACAAGAGTAAAACAAAGCACTTTACAGTATTGCTTTATTTTTTTAAGAGACCTTGGTTAATATGCTATCTTTGCACAGTTTTGGGTATTAGCAAAACCATTTGCCAGTGATTCTTGTAAATCACTGTTTGTGCTCAAATGTGTATATGTTTGGGCATGTGCATGTCTCAGCATGAATATGGAGGTCAGAGGAGACTGTCAGGAGTTGGTTCTCGGCTTTCACGATATGTTCCCAGGTAGCTGCCAAACCATTTACCTTTACCTGCTGAACCAGCTCAGGCCTCTGGAGAGTGTGGTCCTGTTATCTTGTTCTCAGAGAGCCACATCTTGTACAAACAAAGGCATTGTGGTGTCTCGGTATTCGTTATAATTCAGGCATCAGAAAGCAGCCTGTGAAGTCCTCAGTCAGAGTATCTCCAGTTATATTTCAGTTCATTGTAAATTCTTTCTTATATGTGTGTAGCAATTCATGGACAAGTAATCAGTTTGTGCCGCTGAAAAAATGGCTCTTTAGTCGTAACGTAGCACTTTCCCCTCAACCCTGATGACCCGAGTTTGGTGTCACTGTGAGAGGAGAAGGCTAATTTCAGAACGTTGCCATCTGACTTCCATCTGTGTGCTGTAATGTGCGTGCCCACACTCAGGCACAGATCACACACAACAATAATAATAAGTGATTTTAATTTAACCATATACTAAATTGCTATTCCTCTGCTGCATAGCTCCTTGAGAGGAGGACTAGGTCTTGATAAATTCTAGACTACTCATATAGAAGTACCTAGTTAATGTTTATTTAACTGAAGGGAATGCGTATTAACCAAACAAGCTGTTTCTCAAAAATGTCTGATATTTCTGTAATCTAATCTCATTGTATTGCCATTCATTTACATTTTAAAATAGTTGAACCAAATTTCAACTGCAGATTTTGATGAATAGTTCATATTTAAAAGTGGTAAAGCTGTCAGAATGGTTATGATGGAGAAGTGATGACATCAGGGTTCCATGCTTTTACTTTGTATGCATCTGAACCTTCAATGTGCACATCAGCCCTATGTAAAATTTCTATCCTGCAGGCAAGAAAGCAAAGCTCAGTAAGGTAAAGTCATTTCACTAAATTACACACTGCTACTAAAGGATGATAAACTGGGTTTGATGGAATTTTGGAGTTTTTAATTTACAATGTTATGGAAATGAAAATGGTGATATAGCAGTGTGAAATGGTGAGGAGTGAAATGCATGTGAAGGTGAAATAAATCACTGATGTGACATAATTACTCTAAAAAAGAGCAGCTAAGGTAGTAGGTGAGAATTCCTGTGCCTCTGTGATCACTCTGACACTCAGAGGGAAAGCTTTTGAAGTGTTGTAGGTAGAAGAGCGGTGTCACTGTGGCCCCCGTTCATGTGTGGTATCAGCTCATGAGAGAGCCTGCTAACCCCACCTCCTGTGCTCTCTGAGCCTCCCTTCCAGCCCTGAGAATGGCTGCCACTCTGGACTCTTCATTGTAAATGAAAGGGGCTTTATTGCAGGGTGAGGGATAAATGCCCTGTAGAATATTTTTAAACAAAGAAACAAAAGAAAGCTCTGAATGGTAAAACTGCCCTGAGCGGAGAGTGTAGACTTAACCTGGAAGTAATTTTGGATTTTGGGTCAGCTTTTTGAGCTTTTCTGTTAATACTAAGAACTTCTGCCTGGAATTAGGCTCATCTTACACTAAAACTAGCTCTATTTTCTTTGTAGTTAACAAACCCCTTTATAAAGAAAATGGGTCATATTTGTCCTTTTTTGTGGAAGGAGTAAAATCAGCACTTACAATGTTTGAGTTCTTGGAAGAATAGATTTGTTTTTTTAAACTGATTAATTTTGAGACCTGCGGTCTTTTTGAGAATGTTAAATTGTTACACTTGGATTTAGTTGACTGGATAAACACTGCAGTGTCTTCACTGTTGAGATGGACTGTACATTTAATCCATTTGTTTTTGCAGCCACTTTAAGGAAATAAGCACAAGTGTTTGAACAGATTCTACATAGTGTAAAACCAATGGGCCAAAGTGTAGGACATTAATATATAGTAATTATTTTTACTTTTCAGCAAATTTTACTGTTATCTATTTAATATCTCTTTTAGCTAGGCATTTTAAAAATAGTTTTTTATACTTGTACTCAACATGAAGGTTGATTTAATTCCCTAGATACCATTATTGGAAAGAAGTTAGAGATTGTCAGATTTAAGATTTCCTTTTGGACCAGTAGGTTTTGTTTTGTTTTCATCTTTTACAGAAAAAAAAAAAAAAAAGAAACTAGATAAAGTAAGTCTTGGCATGTTGTATCATTTAAAATAGAGTATCATTTAAATAAATTATCTACTTGAATTTTATTTTTGGTAGCAGGCAAAAATCTAGTGTTGAACCAGTTATAAAAAGGAATATTCTGTTATCTTTTTTTCAACAAAGAATATTCTGTTCCATGTGATGGAACTGCTGTATAGAGTTGTAAATAGAATTTTAGTGCCAGCTTGTCATTGGTGCCAAAGGAACGAGCAGTGTTTATTTAGACTGTATTATAAATTCAGCTGTACACTAGACACAGTTTGGTACAATTTAAGCTCACCTTTGACTGGGAATTCTTTTATGGCTTTTAGCAATCCACAATAGGGTGCTTTTTCCTTTCTGATAAATAGAGCTTTGATGCTAAAGTAATGCTTAAGGGGACAGGCTCCATGTTTTTGGTTTATTCTGTTTTAATTTATCATACATATTTTTATGCCTTTGCAGGAGGGGATCAATGCTCAGTACAGCCATATTTGTCTATGCTGCTACATCTCCAGTGAACGGGTATTTTGGAGGAAGTTTGTATGCTAGACAAGGAGGTAACTGAGGAATTAGCACTCTTGAATCTTTAATTATTGATGGTATTTTTCTACTGTGAAGTATTTGAAATTTAAAATGGGCAGTATAGGTTGTACAAATAGTAAAGGCCCTTGTTATATTGTACATATAACCTCTATCAAACCTATTATGTTTTCTATCTTGTTTTTATGGAACCTTTGTGTTTTATTTCCTGAAATTAATGAATAATTAATAGATTGTCTCCATTGTGAAGTTAGCACCAAAGAACATGTACAAGAGAACATCTAAATTATTGATGTTATGTTTCTTTGAGGTACTTAGCTCACTAGATGTGCTCCTGGTGAGCCTGCCTTTATATTCATCCATAAAGTAACTTTTTATGGGTGACTATAAAAGTATGTTTTATGGATACTTAGTGGCTTATAGATAAAGCTCATGGACAATGGTAGGATATTAGGAAACAGATACCATAGTGTCTCTTAAATTATGGTCAAAGGACTCACAAACATTTCTGTTACTTTGTGTCCACTCTTTCAGGTGAAAGAGTTTCATCTTAAATGCCCTCTTTGCTCCTCTGTTACATTCCCCAAACCGTGAGGGGTGTGTGCTGGTGCTTGTTTCCGTGATGGTGTTCTGAGAGTCTCTTCTCTCTACTTCCAATAATCTAGTGTTCCGAGTAGTTTTCCCACCAGCCTGACCCACAGCCGCATCAACCCCCAAATAACACACAGAGATGATGTATTAGATACAAAGCTGTTGGCCAGTTACTAGTGTTTATTATTGGCTAGCTCTGTCTTAAATATTAACCCATTTCTATCAATCTAAGTGTTTCCACTTGGTCTTGGCTTACCAGAAAAAGGGTCCGGACATCTTACTCCTCTTGATCCTACAATCTAGGGTCACACAGGCTCTTACACTGATGCATTTGCATATTTTCACCTAAAACTGAAAGGTGTTTGAAAGACCTCAAGTCTGCTTAACTATAGTGATATATGTGTGTGTGTATAAATATATATAAATTAAGTATGTATATATATATATATTTAAATTTAAATATATATGCTTAATATTTTAAATTTAAATTTGAAACAAGCTTTTCAAGTTGACAAGTTTTACATGTCAATCCCAGTTCCCTCATCCTCCCATCCTTCCCTTTCTGCTCCCCAGGGAGGGGGTAGCCTTCCATGGAGATCTTTAAAGTCTGTCATATCTTTTGGAGCAGGGCCTAGGCACTCTCCCATGTGTCTAGGCTGAGAGAGTATCCCTCTATGTGGAATGGACTCCCAAAGTCCATTCGTATACTAGGGATAAACACTTAACCACTACCAGAGGCTCCATAGACTGCCTAGTCCTCCTAACTGACACCCACATTCAGGGGGGCTGGGTTGGTCTTATGCTGGCTTCCCAGCTCTCAGACTGGGGCCCATGAGCTCCCCTTGTTCTAATCCCAGTACTTTGAAGGCTGAGTCAGCAGGATTGTCACAAATTCAGGAATAGTACAGAAACCTGGAAACTTTTATAGGTAGTAGGAAATCAGAGCAGAGGATCATTTAAAGTCCTCCTGGATGGCCATGTTTACCATTGCTTATTTTGTAGATTTTACTAGATATAATGTGAACAATGCCTTTGTTTTAGGCAATTCTTTGGATGATCTGAAGACATATCATTATAGATATATCTGGGATAGGTATGGGAAATAAGTCCTGCTGTATAGGATGGTAATTCCACCACCAAAAATGAAAAATCTCTGACAGAATTAGAACTAGAAAAACATTTAGCTTTATATCCAGGCTATAACAAATGGTGTACAAAATCAGGGAAATTCTTGGCAGAATCAAAATAAAGACATCAGAGTATTTACTATACCACAGGTCATTGCTCTTTTTCAGTACAAGTACTTTATAAATTTTCTGCTACACCAACTTGAAGAGCTAGACTGGTCTTTATTAGATAATTGATTTGAAACAGTTATTAGTATATCAGGTTTAATAACCTTTGTATTGAATTTTTAAGTAAATAACTTAGAAATACATAATACATTTCAAACATTAGTGCATATTTGTGTAGCTTGAATTTTTTTTTTTAATATCTTCCCTTTTCTTTCAGGAAGGAGATGGATAAAGCAGATGTTTATTGGGGCATTCCTTATTCCAGCTATGGTGTGTGGCACTGCCTTCTTCATCAACTTTATAGCCATTTATTATCATGCCTCTAGAGCCATTCCTTTTGGAACAATGGTGAGTTGCTTGAATTTTAATTTGAAACAGTATGCTTGTAGCCATTCTAATACAAGTCCTGCTGCCTTTTGAGAGCCCTCTCCTACTGATGTTAGGAAGTTTCAGCTAGTTCATATTGAGTCTTGGAAAGTTTTTGTTAGGCTCCAAAAACTATTGGTTAATTTTAATCCTAAACCTAAGGTCCCCTACATTCTTTTGATTCAGTGAAGTGAAAAGTTGATTTTATAGTTTTTATCATAGATGGGAGAGAACTGTTGGATGAATATATTTTAGAGAAAAAATACCAAGAAACATGAGTGTTTTATTAAGGTGATCTGAGTTCTGATTTGCTTTTTTGTTTCTGGGATAAAAACACTGACCAAAACCAACTTGGGGATTTATTTGACTTAAAGATTATAACTCGTCATTGAGGAAAGCCAGGTCAGGATCAAGGTAGGACTTTGAAGCAGTAACTGTGCAGGAGTGCTGCTTCCCGCCTTGCTTCTGGCCTCATGTTCAGCTGTCTTATGCATCCCAAGACCAACTGTCTGCAGTGGGCTGGACACCCTCCACTAATCCACAGTGAAGAAAATGCCCCAGAGTATGCCTACAGGCTGATCTGATGGCTACAGTTCAACTGAGATTCTTTCTTCCCAAGTGTGTCAGGTGAACAACCAATGCTAATGATGAGACTCTATCCCTTGGGATCTTTGACACACAAACGTATTACTTTAAATCATAACCTTTCCTTTCTTGTTCCCCAAGATCTTATTAGTATTATAAAATACAGTACACCCTCTTTCAAAATTGGGCTGGAGAGATGGCTCAGTGGTTAAGAGCACTGACTGCTCTTCCAGGGATCCTGAGTTCAATTCTCAGCAACCACATGGTGGCTCACAACCATCTATAATGAGATCTGGTGCCTTCTTCTGGTGTGCATGAAGATGGGTCACCCGTATACATAAAATAAATAAAATACTGAAAGATATTAAAAACATTTCATCACATTAAAAGTTCAGTGTCTCTTTTGAAATCCCATCTCTTAACTGTATGCTCCCATAAAGTCAAAACCATGTTATATATGTTCCAAAAAGGGAAAACCATGGCATACGAACAACCAGATTAAAGCAAAACACCCTATTTAACAGAATAAATCAAGTACTGTGGCTCAGTGTCTAGAATCTGGGACTCACACTTCTGGGCTTCAAAGGGTTTGAGCAGCTCAAGCTGGAAGCTCAGAAAGCTCTACTCACGAATGCACGCATGCACTTACCTTTTCTTGTCTTGTGGGCTCAAGCAGGTCCATTCCACACTGCAAATTCCTTATTCCTTTGGTGGATGTCTCTGGTATGTTGAAGCTGAGACTGTACCTTTACTAGTGGCTTCTGCTGGCCTCTTTAGGGACTTTAACCCTGCCACATGGAGCTAAACCTCAACTTGTCTCCATGACCTCTTCAATTCTGGGGTTTCCACAGCAATGAGACTGTACCTTTATCAGTGATCTCTGTTTGGCTTTCTTCAGGGACACCTTGACCCTGATACACAGTGCCAAATTTCAAGGACTCTGCATGACCCCTTCATGCCTTTAAACTCAGTGCCGTGTTGGAGACTCTTAGACATTATATGGCAAGCTCTGCTGCTGGCCTGTTGTGCAGCAGTGGCCCCCTCTGGACCACAGATTGTGTACACAGACCCTGAGGAAAGTACTCCTGAAGACTAGGGTTAGTGGTCCTCAACCTGGGGATTGAGTGAGCCTTTCACAGGGGTCACATATCAAACATCCTGCACATCAATGTTTACATTACAATTCATAACAGTAGTAAAATTGGAATAACAATTCAATAATCTTATGTTGGGGATCACCCTAACATGAGGAACTGTATTAAAGGGTCATAACATTAGGAAGGTTGAGAACTAATGATCTAGACCATAGGCACTGTGTGTCTGAGAGGCAAGGTACTCTACTGACTGCATAGCTTAGTTTGAAAATCAGTCTAGAGGTTCTCCTGTGTGTTCTTCCCAAGGCTTCAGCTCCCTCAGATAGCTCATGAACACGAATTCTTTCTCTGGAGGGCCATCATGCTAATTGTCCATCTTAAGTTCTCACAGCTGATAGCAGCTAACCTTAGTGACTTCAAGCTTTCTTATGTAAAAGTAACAGGTAATTAAGGATTTTGTTTACCAGGGATCTGGATTTCAGTCTAGATATTGCTGTTACCAGGACTAGCTTGAGGTAGGATTGAAAGATAGTTTGTCTTTAGACTCTTTGGTTCCTGTGAACCTAATTATACAAAGAACTACAAAACTTATTATTAAGTTAAACTTGTTGAACAATAAGTAGCTCTAGAAGTTTCACAAACCTTAGCAGAAGTTCATGGTAATACTATAAAATCTAGTGGCCTTCAAGAGAATATTTACAAGATGCAAGAATTCTCTATCTAAGGAATTGTTTCATCTATAGTGGGTAGGTCTTCTTACCTTAATCGGTGCAATCAAGACATTCCACTACAGACATGCCCACAGGCCAACATAATCTAGGTAATCTCTCATTGAGACTTTATTCTCAGGTGATTCTAGATTGTCTCAAATAGATAATTAAAAGTAACCGTTCCAGCTTGGGGGGGGGGGGTGCATGCCTTTAATCCCAGCACTGGGAGGCAGAGGCAGGTGAATCTCAGTGAGTTCAGGCCAGCCTGGTCTACAAAGTGGGTGTTACACAGAGAAATCCTGTTTTGGGAAAAACAAAACAACAACAAAAGAACCCATTACCTGAGCTGACTTGAATAAATGATAGGGTAAACAAATGCATTTTATGAAAATACTTTCAAAGAAAGCTTCAGACATGGATCAGAATTGGAACAAGCAAGTGGTTCTGTTCTTCTTTTTCATCAAATAACTTTACACAAGAAAAGTACAAGGAAGCATTCTTTTATAAAAAGAAGTGAGGCTTAAGCCAGCTCATGTAATTGATTATGTGGAGTTCCCAGCTACTTCAGTCCAAAGTGTCTTTGCTTATGTGTGTGTTTTCTTACAGAGCAGAGATACCATATTGGCAGGGGAGAAGTTTGTGAAACTGGACCCAGATCTCCTTTTCTAGGGGAAAAGGAAGAAAGTAGATTCCACTCTGATGAGGCACAAGATTTTAGAATTAGTTATTAATTTTTTTAAAGAATGGAAGCAATTAGCATTAGGAGCTAGTGTGAATTCATAAAAGCAAAATGGCTAGAACGCTGTCATTTCCCAACCTGAGTAGGTTTTAGAAAACTAGAACACCATAGCATAAGTAAACATGGTATCTTATTGGCCAAGGTAAAGAAATGTGGCCAGAGTCATTGTGATGAGGCTCTGAGCAGCTGCAGAGCAGAGCATTGGGATGTTACTGCACATACTGCCCTTAGTGGTCTGATAGGAGCAACATATTCTGTAGTTCATGGTGTTTGCATAGCTGTTACTCTATTTGGTTTTCAAAGAAACTAAATAGAAATCAGGGGTAGGGCACGCACTTATCTGTATCATAGAGTTAAACCCCCAAGATTTTTATGTAGTAATTGGCCCAGTCCATATTTCTTGTGTTTGGGTTGTGTTGTTAGTGGTGAAGATGAGGATTGTTCATTGAGTTTGTTGTTTGTACTTTTTTCTGTCAAAATGAGTTTCAGGTAAAATGTAAAATGAAGAGCCCCGGCGGACCCTTGCCAGTTCCAACACTTGATGCTGTCAGTCTTAAATTTATCTGGTCCAGTCAGGGTGTAACAGGCCTACATGTCATTTCTCCAATTGACCTGACGGTCACATTGAAGGTTTTATGGGGGGGAAGGATTGCTTATTTGCATATGCATCTTTTTAAATGAATGTTAAAAATCTTTTGTGCTTGTATTTTATCCTCATGATTCCCCCCTCCCCCCAAGACAGTCTCTTTACACAGCCCTGGCTATCCTGGAACTCACTATGAAGGCCTTGAACTCACAAAAATTTACCTGCCTCCTCTTTCCAAGTGCTGGGATTAAAGATGTGAACCACTAAGACTGGCTGTGTGTGTGTGTGTGTGTGTGTGTGTGTGTGTATACATACGTGTGTATACAGGAGTGCATATGGTGTGGGGAGGGCTACGTTCATTCCCAGGGTGCAGGTGAAGCTCAGGACAACTCATAGGAAGGGGTCTGTTCTCTTTCACCATCTGGGCTTCAGGGGTCAAATGCAGGTTGTCATGTTTGGCAGCAGGAACCTAATACCCACTGAACCACCTGCCCTTATCTTTTTAAATGGGTGTAATTTATTGGATGAGAGGAGTTTTTTATACATTGTAGGTAGAAGTTATTTGCTTTAAAGTATTTTTGCAGCAATAATTTTGTTTCTATTTAAGGGCAATTTTACTAATTTTGAAGACTAGTATATTGATAGATTTTTTTTCCTTTCCTAGTTTGTTCTTTTTTTTTAAATATGTATTCATGATTTATTAATTTTTATTTAATGTGTATTAGAGCTTTGCCTGTATAAGGGTGTTGAATCCCCTGGAACTGGAGTTACAGACAGTTGTGAGCTGCCATGTGGGTACCAGGAATTGAACCGTGGTCACAGCCAGTGCTCTTAACCACTGAGCCATCTCTCCAGCCCCTCCTAGTTTGTTCTTATAACTATCCTATTTAGGGAGTCTTTTGCCAAATTGAACATCAGCAAAGCTCTCCTTGTATGTTGTCTTTAGAAACCCTGTAGTTTCATCTTTGAATCCCCGAGGCCCCTGAGATAAGCTTGAGAACTTTATTGCACACAGCCCTCTGTTAGAAGGGCTCCCCTGCCTGCAGCACTTGCCGAGGCCTGGCTGGTGGCTGGCTGCACAGCCGTGGAGAGACACACATGGAGAGACACACATGGACACAGTGAGCTTGGGCATTCTTTCCCTAACTAACTGCCTCATAAAAAGTCCTGTGCATAAACTACATTAAAAAGTGAAATAGTAGACATGGCAAGCAGAGACTTGCCAGGTTGGGGAGGGCATTCAGCTTTGTGTCTTCCATGCCCTTCTAGAGCCCTGCTGTTCCTGCTTTGTTAGGAGTTTCTGTTGGAAACGCATGTTAGGTTTTGCAGCAACTTTTAATCCTGCACCTTTTGAGATGGTGGTGACTAACATGGTTGTCTAATCTTAAGTTAGTCTTGTATTTCTTTGGTAAAGTTCCATTTACTAGATTTCATTTTATGTATGTATTTGTAACGCCCCTCCCCCCCTTTTTTTTAAATAACGCTAGCTTTCTGCAGCACATTTTTTCATTTTTTTAATAGAAATGAAGTAACCCAAGAAATAGGATGGAGAGTTATGAACTAGAACTAGCATGTTGAAACTCTGTGGACACATTAAACAAGTTTTTTTTTTTTTTTTTTTAAGATCTGTGAGTTGGCAATACCTGGGTTATAGAATCCATTGGTTGGAATGTCCAATAAAGTAAAATCAATTAACTTGGTTATAATAATGAAAGATGAGGGGTAGACTTGTTAAGAGCATGCCAGCTGACCGGGAAAGAGATCTACAAGGTACTTTATTGGGGGCAGTGTGGAAGACTTGTGGGGGGGTAAGGTGCGAGGGGAGAGTTCAGTTTTTGTGTGATTCAGTGTGAGCATTTTTTCCTGCTTCTGGTAGTACATTCCTTATATCATTTCAGGCCTTAGAACTGAACGTTCTCTCTGTGATCACAGTGTGTTCGAATTTTCAGGTGTGTCTCTTACTTGCTTTTTATTAGTGTTTTTGTGCTCTGAGTAACCACACACATTTTTATTTAATTTACAGGTGGCCGTTTGTTGCATCTGTTTTTTTGTTATTCTTCCTCTAAATCTTGTTGGTACAATACTTGGCCGAAATCTGTCAGGTCAGCCCAACTTCCCTTGTCGTGTCAATGCCGTGCCTCGTCCTATCCCGGAGAAAAAATGGTAAAGAGAATGCTAAAGCTTATTTCATTGTTGTAGTGCATAAGTTTTTAAGGCTGTTGTGTACATGTAACTTTAGAAGCAGCTTGTGCTTATGCAAACAACTGTTTTAAGTTTAAGAATGTGTTCGTTTTAATTTTCCCATTAGTCTACATTGTAAAGAATATAGTAAGCTCTGCTTTTATTTTGCTTTCTGAATATTGGTGCTGTTCACATGGCAAAACTTTGATAAATATGCTCGTGTATAGAGGTGTGGGGGGAAGTAACGCTTCATTGTGGCTGCTGCCTGTTTTTGTTGTTATGTTTTTGTTTGTTTGTTTGGTTGGTTGGTTGGTTGTTCTTGAGACATGGTTCTTTCCTGGTCATGCTGGAACTAACTCTGTAGACCAAGTGCTGGGATTAAAAACCATGGCCTAGCTGTTGCTGACTGTTTTTATAAATAAAATTTTATTGGACAGCCGTACCTAGTCTTCATAGAGTACTTAAGGCTTTTTTACGGCATCAGAGTTGACAGAGCAGTAGTTTTAACACTGCTCTGAATTACAGAAAAATCTTCCCAACTACGTGTATAATTTCTTTTTCCTTTCAGGTAAGTTAGATTGGTGCCTATAAGAACCTTTAGACTGAAGAGTTTTGAGTCCATTTTTAAACTGCTTTTCCCCTAAATCAGTATTAAATTACTAGGGCCCATTAATCACTCATGTTCAGCTTATTACTGGAGAGAGAAAGGTAAAAGGAAGGGCATAGTCAGAAAGCACAGGCGATCGTTGGGAAGTCCGGTTAGTGAAGAGAGGTGTGGGCCTTGCTTACCAGATGGGTGTCCATTAGGTGTAGGCAGGGTGGTGTGTGACTTCATTTTCTTGTTTTATAATCACATGGAACCAAAATCTGAGTACTAGATCTGGCTTTTATCGAATGGTTACATGGTTACCTGGGGTAGATGTATCAGCCTCAGGACCATGGCTTTTTATTTTTATAAAACAAAGAGGGAAGATTATGGTAAATGACTTTCAAGTTTGTGTTCTCTCCCTCTTAAGTTTGCTCACTGCAGAGATAAGAGTTTGTTGTCTTCACTTGTGCAGACACTGTTTAAGGCTAGGAACACCTGGCTGAACATGTCTGCCAAACAGCAGTCTAATTAGTGGTACCTGGTGCAGGTCAGCAAACAGACACAGTGTAGTAAGTTCTGTGGTGGAAGGATGTTCAGGAGAGTGGGAGGATGGGGAAAAGCCATGTGTTCCTGGGATACAAAGGGGAAAGGCTTTGAGAACTGCCCATGCCTGCTGGAAGGAGGACATGAATTAAAGACAGCATTCCAGATAGACAATTGATGATTTTCACTCAGTGAATGTGGGCTGGGAAAGGGGATGCGGTTTCAGTTTTATTCCTTTAGTCTCTCTGTGCCCCATTGTAAAGCAAAATTTAACAATACCTTGGTTGTTTAATTTGTTGGAAAAAAAATAATTAGAGCCAAGAAGAAAGTAGGTAAAGAAATGGCAAGGTCAGTTTATGAAGACTTATTTCAGATAGAGGTCTCAACTTGTTTTTCTTTCCTCCTTCTTCCCTTTGAATTCCTGTAAGTAAATGCCTACTGGGTTCTCAGTAATTACTGAAAACTGGTGACCTAGGTAATGTGTTTCTGCAGCAGCAACAATTTGTGTTCCTCAAATGCTTTAATGCTGGAAAGAATATTGATTACAACTGATGACTAATTTTAAGTCTCACCCACTTTTTTATGCCTCTTTGGGTATGGTTTTTCTTTTTATTGGTTTGTCTTTATCTATTGGGATGATTTTTAAAGTATTAAACATCACCTTTGTATTATCAGAATTTATATTTGTTGTTAAAATCCTGCTAGAAGTACATTGTTAATTCTAATATTTTCCAGGTTTATGGAGCCTGCAGTTATTGTTTGCCTGGGAGGAATTTTACCTTTTGGCTCAATCTTTATTGAAATGTAAGTTTGGGCAATGTTTTCATGTTTTGAAGAATTTAGTTATAACAAGAATTTAAGAATTAGAGCTTTTTAAGAGGTGTGGAATCATCAGACAAGCTGGTCTCCCTGGAATGAGTTTTGCACTGCTATAATGAAATACTGAGATTGCTAACTTTTTAATTTTATCAAACTTAAAGGGTTAGAGATTCTAAGTCACAGTACATAATGAAGGAAAGTCAAAGCAGGAACCTAGAGGCAAGAGCTGGTATAGAGACCATAGAGGAAACCCAGCTTTCTCAGCCTGCTCTCCTGTACAACCCAACACCGCCTGCCCAGAGGTGGCACTGCCTGCAATGGTCTGGCCTTCTCAAATCAACCATTATACAAGAAAATGTCCCACTGACTTGCCTACAAGCCAACCTGATGGAGGCATTTTCTCAATTTGTACCTCTCCCCATATTAGTCTGGCTGTGTCAAGTTGACAAAAAGTATAATCAGCACAGCTCATACATACATAAATGGGTAGTTGTCTTTCATCAACTGCCAATGGCAGGTACCTAGGAGATCAGACTGGCTCACTCTGACTTGTTTAATAAAGCCAGTTCTGGAACTCTGTACTTGCAGTGGTAATTCCCACTCTGATGTGAACTCCTAGTACTAGATAGAGGTCATGCCTTTCCCTCTTCCCTTGATCCTCTCTTCCATTAGACAGGCTCCTCTGCTCTTTCAAGTCATGTTTGCCTTGGTTTTCTCACATCCTGTCCTCCTGGAGAGGCATTTTTAACTTACCAGTCTAGGTTTATTTTATTGTTATTTATTTTGTCTCATTGCTAAGGACTTTGAATCTCGATGCTCCTACCTTCATGATGTGGCCAGTTGGTGTGTTCAGAGGATGACAGTCCTATCCATTCTCTTAGCTCTTGCCCTTTTGTTGACATTCTAGCCATGCTGAACATTTTGAGGTTTTTGTTGTTGTTGTTTTGTTTTTAGGTTCATGTATATGAGTTCTTGCCTACATTCATTATGTGTGTACCATTTATATGCCTGGTGCCTATGGAGGCCAGAAGAGGGCGTCAGATCCCATGGAATTGGAGTTAGGAGGTTGTGAGCCACCTGTAGGAGGTGCTAGAAGTCAAGCTCAGGTCTTCTGCAGGAGCAGCTGGTGGTTTTAAATGCCGGCAATCTCTGCAATCCCCAGAGTTTAGCTTACTGGTTCCTTCACTTAGCACCGTTCCTCTGCTTCTGGTGTTTTCTGCCATAAGTCTGCCTCCTGCTCCCCACCCCACCCATGAGCCTTGTCCTGTTTGCACTCCTTACCCAGTCCCTCACACAGTTGTGCTAGAAGAATCATTCCTTTCATTTGCTGGGTGTAATGCACATCAGAGGGTCAGGGTTATCTTACTGCTGGGCTTCCCTGCCAGCCAGCAATCTCTGGAGAGTAGAGAGGTTTCCCTCACAGTGCTGATCTTTACTGCTCGCTTCCTTAACAAAGAAAAAAAATGTAAATGCCTTTTTATTTTTTAAGATTGTTACATAATTACATCATTTTCCTCTTCCCAACTTCCCTTCAAACTTTCCTACATCATACCTTAATATATGGCAAGGGATCTGTAAATAGTAGTTGTTGAAATGTGTGGGCATGCGATTGAACAAATGAATTACAAAACAGGAATTTTTAAAAAAAGAATGATAAGACCTTGTTCTGAGTTAAGGATGATTTGAGTAATGAATGGATTTAAAGGTTTATTTATTTTTTTTTTTTAAATGAAAAATATGACTACTCTTTCTCTCGCTGTCCTCTGAAGATAGTGTCAGTCTCCTTTGGATTTGGCTTCCTGTTTTGTTTCTTCTCTAATTCTGTATATTCTTAAGTTCATCATTTAACTTTTCTGTTTAATAGGATGTTTTCTAAAATGTGCAGTATATTGTTTGAGTGGTGTTTCATCTTGAAAAATGGAAGGATGAAGGACTTGACTTTATAGGTTGAGGCTGTTCTCATTTTCCATATTTTAACTTGTTTATGCTTCTCATTTAGTCATCTTACTCAGATGACTAAGTTCCTCCAGATGAGTTTGTTCTTTAAAAAACAAATCACAAAAATATTTTGTGAATTCAGTGAGAGTTAAGAGAAACTGTTGGAAATTACTAGAAAGGATGACAACGGGTTTTAAGTGGAATAAAAGTGTGAGCTAAGAGAAGACTGGCAAGAGCAGGGTGAGCTTCAAAGCTGTCCTCACTGTTTGTTCTCAGGTACTTCATCTTCACATCTTTCTGGGCGTATAAGATCTACTATGTCTATGGCTTCATGATGCTGGTGCTGGTCATCCTGTGCATTGTGACCGTCTGTGTGACCATCGTGTGCACATACTTCCTGCTAAATGCAGAGGATTATAGGTGGTAAGTGCTTTCAGGTGGAACCTCTCAGGATCCTAATACTTTTTTTTTTTTTTTTTTTTTTTTCTCGTTTGAGACTGGATCTCTTTTATTTTGTAGCTCTGGATGTCCTGGAACTTGATATACTGACCAGGCTGACCTCAAACTTATAGATGTCCACTTACCTCTGCCTCCCAAGTCTTAGGATCACAGTTATGTGCCACCACACCCAGGCAGGAGCCTAATATCTTAAGTTCGCCTTTGAAGGCTGTTTAAGCTGAGAAAAAGATTCACACAGAAACTGTGCTGTTTAAGATAACAGAGGAGCTGGGAATGGTGGTGCATACTTGTAACCCTAACAGTGGGGCACTTGGCTACAAAATGATACTCTGACTCAAAACATAAAATGAATGGATAAGAAAGATATATAGAGATTTTTTTCCTCTAGTTATAAAGGTAATGAAAAATTTATAGGAAAATGGTGTCATTCCAAATCTTTTGTCCTATTTGAAATATTTCTGCAAAGTGCTAATGCTGCATTTGTGAGGAAGCATGATCTTTCAAACTTGAGTCTGAAAGGGGGAATTGGTTTATTTAAAGTCACTCCGAATATGGCAGGACTCTGGAGTTTGGAGTTTGGAATTTGGAGTTTGTAGGCTCTTCATTAATATTTAAGCAGCAGGTACAGGGATTTGTTTTTAAGTGTGTAGAACTTTAAAGGATGTTCTTTTGTAAAATTCTTTGCCTTCATTTCAAAGGCATAATCATTTTCCATTTTTCCCCCCCAGGCAATGGACAAGTTTTCTCTCTGCTGCATCAACTGCAATCTATGTTTACATGTATTCCTTTTACTACTATTTTTTCAAAACAAAGTAAGTTTTTCTCTCCTGTGTTACCTAGGAAACTGCATTTGCCCTTTATATAATAAGTGTAAAGCCTCAGATTGAAAGTATGTGTTGAATATTATTTTATTGTATTGCAGGATGTATGGCTTATTTCAAACATCATTTTACTTTGGATATATGGCGGTATTTAGCACAGCCTTGGGGATAATGTGTGGTAAGTTTTTAAATTCTTGGAACATCATGAAAAATTTTGATTATCTCAGACTCAGGAAAACACTGTAACTAGGAATTAAGAAATTCTGGGCTGGCAGGGTGGTACAGTGGGTAAAAGTATTTTTTGTTCAAGTCTGGCAAACCTGACTTTGATCCCTGTAACCCAGAAAGCTGGTTGAGCTGCATTCATACCTCACCCAATAATAATTAAATAGAAATTAAGGAGTTGTGTTCTGTTGCTTTATCAGGAACACCAAAATGAATCCAGAAGTTTGCCTTCAGTCATTTTGACTCTCCCTGAAAATCTGACCTATTACCTGATTAACATCTATCTTTGTAGCTGTTGTAAAGATACTGCAGAGCACAGAATTACTATAGTCAGTTTCTCACTCGGGTCTGGTCTTAAGTGATCCTCCTGTCCCAGCCTCCCAAGTAGCTGGGGTTACAAGTGTGTGTGTGGCACTGCACACAGTTGAGAATTGGCATTTTAAAGCATGTGATCATTGGAAGGGATTATAATGTCAGCAGGTGTGAGGTGTTGCCTGGGTGATTTCTGCTTGGACGTTTCTTGGAAGTATTGCGGAAGACACTAGTTTCTAGAAGGCAGCACAGGTTACTGACAGTGAATGCAGCATACCTATTTGGTTTTTCAAGTGGACTTGGCTAATTGTGTCCCTGAGGTGTTTGGCCATATACCTGTCCACTCTTCCATAACTCTTTAAAATAGCAGTTGAAGCTACAATAACCTATTGCACTCAATGCTTATCCAAAAATACTTCGACAGGTGGTTATAGGTTTTTATTGGGAGGCATGTGATATGGGTGTGAAGTTAAAAGCTATTGATAGTTATTACTTACTTTAAGTAATTCATTGGTTGTTAATATATTTTAACTTCTGCTTATTAGCAGAGATTTGTTTATAAAGAGAGTCCTCTTTTCCTTATCTGCTCTGTTACATTGAGATAGACCAGTTTGATGAATACAAATGGGTTTATGGTTGGGGTGTAGCTCAGAGTGCTTGTCTAACATGTAAAAAAAAAAAAAAAAAAGTTTGGGTTTAATCCCCAGTACTGTTTAAAAAGTGAGAGTTGCAGCACCACTGGGTCATGCTTCTCTCCACCCCGCCCCATCCCCAGGCCTCCTTTATTAGCTCTTATGGCTATGTACGGTTTTGGAAACATTGGATATTGCCACATATGGTCATTCACACTTCTAATACCAGCACCCAGGAGGCTGAGGCAGAAGGTTCCAGAATTCAAGGAAAGTCTGGGATATAGCAAGACTGTCTCCCCCTCCCCACCCCCAAATAAAGTATTGCTTTAATGGGCTGGATTTGTCATTATCAAATTACTCTCTTTTGTGAGCCATATTTTAATTTCCTAATTAACATACAAGTACTAATTGTGATTTGATTGTAAATAATTGGTTAGATGTGGCTAATAGCAGGTGCCTTAGAAAGCATCTGATAGCATTTAAGACATTCAGAAAGGAATATTAACATAAAGATACTACCCTGAAAAAGGAATAGAATTCTCTAGAACAGAGAACATTTAATATTTGTAAATGGCAGGCCCTAATCCTGCTGTATTTGTTTCACAATTCTTTATTTTATTTTTGTAGGAGCAATCGGTTACATGGGAACAAGTGCCTTTGTTCGAAAAATCTATACTAATGTGAAAATTGACTAGACATCTGAGACAACCTGGAACTTCGGATCAGTTTCTCTTTCATGAGGGTGGAACTTTCACGGAAAAGAAGACTAAGCGCAAGAAGAGATTTGGGCTTAACACTGGGTACTTGTGGGTCTCTTTCATGGATGGCTTACAGTAACATCTATTTCCATTGATCCTAGGTTCTTACTGACTGCTTTCTCCAACTGTTCACAGCAAATGCTTGCATTTTATGCAGTAGGCTTTACTACAGTACATGGCTAATCTTCCCCAAACTAGCTCATTAAAGATGAAATAGACCAGCTCTCTTCAGTGAAGAGGACAAATAGTTTATTTAAAGCATTTGTTTCAATAAAAGAACTAGAGGGAAACTTGGATGCTAAAATTCCATGAGTAGAAATCTTCCTGGCACTTGGTGTTTCTGTGTTATTGAAAAATGATGTTCCAGAAAGATTACTTTTTTCTCTTATTTTTACTGCCATTGTTGATCTATTGTGGGACATTTTTATATATTGAACCTGGGTTCTTTTTGACCTGTTTTTGGTCGTCCCTCCATTCAACTGCATCTTTTTTTTTTTTTTTTTTTTTTTTTTTTAACAAAATTAAAAACTATTAAATTCTGCATGGAATATATCTGCTGTCATCTTAATCTTAGTTGGATCAACCTCATTTATTTATCTTAAAATTAACCAGTTATATCTCGATTCCATCCAAAGAAAATACAGTATGAAAATAGAGGTGACTCTATAATGCATTTTACTGTACAGTTAGAAAGCAAAGTGTTAAATGGAGAAGATCCTGGTTTTTATTAAACATTTGGAGATTTAGATAAATTACATTTTAACTGAATGTCTAAAGTGATTATCTTTCCCTCCCTTCCCCCCATTACTCTTACATCTTTTTTGAGTTTCAATGAAGGCTTTACACAAGAAATTATTAAAAATAAGGGGGGGCAATAAGTGTATATAACATTAATAATGTCGTGTAGCTGTAGGTTCCTGGATGCATTTGGATGTACAGATTGACTGGAGGACTTTTTTGGGATGATGATTGGTGTAGAAATGTGTGGGTTTGGTGGCTTTTTACATCTTGCCTACCATTGCATGAAACATTGGGGTTTCTTCAAGATGTGTGTGTCATACTTCTTTTGGGAGGGGTTTGTTTTCTTCTTTTATGAAACTCCTACTGGAGCTAAATTTGTAATTTAGAAACATTTAATTTTGTTAATCCTGTCTGGGACATTTAAGTAACATCTAAAGCATTATTGCTTTAGAATGTTCAAATAAAATTTCCTGACCAAATTGTTTTGTGACAAGAGATGTGTATAATTTGAAGGGACCTGCTCAGAAGGCAATATAGAATGCCATGATTTTTTTTTTCTTTTTTAAAAATACACTATAAAGCATACTTTCCAAATACAGAAGACCCACACTTTAAAATCCCCAAAGACGGAGCCAGGTGTGATGGTTTATGCCTATAGTCCCAGCACCAAGGAAGCTAAGACAGAAGGTTGCAATAAATTTGAGAACTGGGCTATGGAATGAGTTATGTGCTATTCTGTAAGACCATTCCAACAAACAGACAAACAAAAAACCAAAAGAAGTAAATCCAGAAGCCTGGGTATGGATAATTACAAAGTAGGTGATAAAACTCCTTATATGAAATTGTGACATACAAATCTAAACATTTATTGGATTGCTGTTTTCTGTAAAATAGAAGGGAATAGAAGTGGCTAAGCTCACAGTGTTAGCTCATTCAGTGTGTGAACAATGAAGGTGACGGAAATCTCAAATTATTTTAATTTGCACACACATTTTCTGGATCTGCCCATATTGAGAAGTTCTTCCTAGAACCATTGAGTTTCTAATTCAGTACTTTGCCTTGCAGATACCCAAAACTATACTGTATTTTGGTGTTTTTAGAAAGACTCAAATCATCTGCATTAAAGTTTAATGTGAAACTCATGCATTCATAGTTACATGAGATATTTTAATAAATCCATGGACTCCGTGTCTTAAACTGAGTCATGTGACATCTTTAGGGTGTTTGGATTCTAACCTTAAGTGAGAGTGGTAAGCAACGTGAATAGAGCTGTGGCCCAGTCATCTTCAAGCCAGAAACTCGGGCTCAGTGTCACCTACTGATTCTTAACATTTTCTGTTTCTCACCTGCCTTTGTGATCTTAAACTAATAGGCACTGTTTATATCATGTGAAGTGTTTTTAATATAAGAACACTTAGTCTACAGTTGGAGGTGTGGCTCAGTTAGTGCTTGCCTCGCTTACACAAAGCTCTGGTTCGATCCCCCACCCCCACTGCATAAACTGGGTGATAGGACATATTTGCAATCGCAGCATTCAACAGGTAGAGACATGAGGACATCAGAGGTGCAAAGTTACCCTCCAGCTTCATAGTGAGTTCAGCACTTCCTGTGCTGTATGACACTCCATCTCTAAAAATGAAACAAACACCACTTTTTCTATCTAATGGAGTATATGTAAACTAGATAGCAAATTTTTGTCTTAATGAAATATTTGTTTGTCATAATCTTCCAGATAAGGTGTAGGGTTTTCAGAGAACGTGGCTGTTTCAGGTGTACCTATTTTTTCTGCTAAGTTGAGCCTTGGAGTGCTTTGAAATCTACAATGAAAAATAATTTTCAAATATATTAAGAACATCAAAGTGAATATAAATTACTTTGAAAGATCTTTTATAAAAAATACTTGTATTGTTGACTTATAACTCAGAGGCGCAACATAAATGTGTATCTTGAAAAAGATATAGGTTACAGGTAGCCTAGTTCTCTATAGTTCTCAGTAGAATCATTCAAACAATATGTAAGTTACTTGGAATGCAGGGCTTTTGTACTCCATTAATGCTGTATATTTAATTTACTAATATCTGCTTAGTTTATCAGCTGATGCTTTGAATACTATCAGAAACTAAGAACATACGTTGTATCTTTAAGCATGTCTCCTGAAAATTAACTGCATTAGAAATTGACTTTTTTACTGGTCTCCAAGAACAAGGCTAGGAAAAAGTGGGACCTTGCTGGAGGGACTTAAGTGTGCTAGTGCATTGCATAGGCTCCCAGACTGCCCTTAGGATCATTGTCATGTGCTATCCGAACCTCATGGCTGGTATGCTCTGGTGTTTCCCATTGGTGGTGGGTGGCCCTTTTTCTAAAGGTGGTTGCTGCAAATTCCAGTTCTTCCAAAGCCACTTGATTTAAGGGTTTATCCACAAATTGTGCTCATTTTGATATAGCATTTGTTTCCTAAATGTTTACTAATCACTTAATGCCAAATGTCTTGCAGATGTTATTTTTAAACTTCCTGAATTTTTACAAATGTAAAAAGGAAAAAGTGTATTAGTGTAATTTGTTCAGGACTAGCTACATACCGAAGGGCTTCTATACATGAGTTCTAGGGGCAAAGCCTTATGTTCCATTTGGGTTTCAAGTCCAGATATCAGCACTTCTTAGGGCTTCATTCTGTTGACCTCTCAGAACATGCAATAGGAGTAGTGATTTACAGAAGCACAGATGTTCATGTTTTCTATCATGTAAAATTCTGTAGTTAAGCTATATTTTAGCAGTCACGGCGTTAACGAAATCAGAGGAGTAGAAATGGAGGCAGATTGCTTAAAAGTGTATTTAGGACTAGACTAGTTTTGCAGAAAGGTAGAACAGACAGGTGACACATCTGCAGACATTGTGTATGACTTGCAGTCCAGATGAGGGTAAGTGCTAGACCTTTGCTAGGAGAATGCCTGAGGGTGTCCTGGTTTAATGTCCCCACCGACATTAAATGTGTGTGCAGTGTGCAAAGGTAAAAGGTTACTTCACAGTTGTTTGTAAAAGAAGCTGATAAGGAAGTTCTCTTGACTAGGACTGGGCAAGGCATAGTTTGTACTTATCCTCACCTCGTTGGTTTGGACCATTTGGAGGGAATAAGTGCTGTAAGTAACAGCTAAATGGAAGGAGAGAAAGGATTGTCTGGGACAGCAGAGTTTCCTATAAAAGCATCATTGGGCTTCTCATCTGTTCATCTTGAACCTTGAAATCCCCACGAAGCAGTCAACAGGTAGGAATACACAGTGATTGCCCATATCACTTCCATTTTGTATACACCCTGGGTTTGTGTAGGCCATATTCCAACTGGGCTTTTTAGTAATAGAAATCCAGTATATAATGTATCAGATATAATTGAGGCTCTAATCTAGTCTGTTAATTTACCTGAAGTTGGATTTAAAAAAAAAAAAGTAATAAAAATTTAAATATATTTCCCTTGGATGCTTGCTTTCTTTCCTTTTTGAAACAGGTGAACCAAAGTTTGAGGCATAAGATAACTTGTCACTGTCAGTCTGCCTGCCTGAATTCATCCCACAGTCAGATAACTTAGGGCTCGGCAGTTGTCTAGAGTCAGACATAGTGCATGCGTTTATGTTGAAGACCCATACAGTCTGTGACAACTCAGGCATTACGGAGCAATGCAGACAGCTATAGAACATGGCTGCGCTGTGATACAACTGTAAACAGCCAGCCGGCCCGAGGTTGCTAACTCCTGAAAGGAAGGATTTAACATTTCAGGGTTAATTTCCACACATGCCCCATCTGTATTTTGAAGAAAAACAAACACACACATTGGACGGGAAGTGTGAGGAATGGTATAGTGAATAAGATTTTTTAAAAAAGCTGCTTTATCCTTTTGCTGTTCTTCATAGGTAAACTTTGAGCCACTGCCAGCATTCTCCCCTATGCATGTCAGTCCTGTGAGTGACAGTGCACTGGCTTTGTCTAGAATTGGTTGCTTTTTCTAGGAAATTTTACACAGGTCTCTCAACTGCCTGTGAAGGTAGTAGGTTAGGTAAGACACAACACGAAGGCAGCTAAAGGTGCTCTCTGAGTCTGGAAGTAGCAGAATTGGTGCTTGGTCATCTTCATTGTCATTATAAAGTGCAGATGTCACTTCTCCAGCCTGCAGAGCAGCAATACATACAAACGGAGGGGACAGAGGCTGTGCTGTGGTAAAATGTGGTTAATTTCTCTCTAATAAGTTTTTCTTGCTCAACACCTGGACATGGGAATTCCTGTTGGCCATATAGTTTGGTTAGTGCAGTGCAGATTGGGCTGACTTCTGATCATTTTTTGCCTTGACACCTTGTCTGGTTGGAAAACTAGGTATAGATTCTATATCACAGAAGGAAGCCTGCTGTTACATACCCAGCTTCTTTAACAAACAGGTTTGTATTCAGTCAAGTGAGGTCTATAAATTACTTGAAATACTTGTTTTAAATGATTTTCACTGTCAAAGTTTGCTGTTAATACGGTTTTCAAGTTTATTAAAAAAAAAAAAAAAAAAGGAAAGACTTGCTTAACTGGCTGATTTTTTTGTTAATTTACAGTGGCACAGTCTAAGTCGTTATTATTCCAGGTCTAACCATGAAGTTCAGGGAGAGGAGAGCCTGCAGGGATATAAGTGACTCTGGTTGGGGTTATTTAGTCAGGTCAAGTTAGCTTCAGTAGGAAAGATCCGGAAAGCTTCAGCACCTTAGATGTGATTGTAATGGGTACTGGCATGAGG